TAGCGGCATGTTTTCTGAAAAATATAATGACAATTGGCAAATTTTGACCTTTGATGACCTCTGGTGACCCTAATATTGCTCTAAGGTGAAAAATGACCGAAATACTATCAAACGTACGCATTGAGAGCTATCGACTGCTTTTTACCGCGTCTTTCTAGCTCTCTTAGTTTTTGAGTTAGAGGTGGGTGGTAACATATGCCCCCCCTCACTAGGGCGAAGTTGGCCGAGACCGCCACTGGGGCGCGGGTTAAAGTGTTCAGTGAGGTCACGGTAAACAAACGACACCCCGCGTACATGGGAGCGGGCACAGAGCCAAACCAGAAACTTCTCCTGCACACGTTCAATCCGCTGCATGTGTGTCCGCGCCGCTCCACTCCACACTACACTGCAGTACTCCAGTATTGAGCGGACGTTGGCGTAGTACGTTGCTAAAATGGCTCTGTGTTTCGACATGTCAAGCGAGCGTCCTCGTTTTCCCGTCGCAAATGTCCGCATAAGTAGACCTAACGCTCTGTTAGCTTTGCGTACGGTGTGCTCAACATGATCTCCAAACGTAAGCCTTTGGTCCAGAAGAACGCCCAGATCTCGCATAACTTTAACACGCTCCAACGATACGCCTCCGATCGTGTAAACTCCCAACACTGGTTTACGCCTTAGGGTCAGGGTCAGGACTTTGCATTTGCTTGGATTCAGCTCCAGCTTCCACTTATCTGACTTCCACTTATATATTTTGTTTTTGGTGACCTGACCTGACCTGACCTTGACCTTTGAATGACATTGTGTGCAACGAATATTGTCTTGGTAGTCTAAGAACACGTTTTGGGCAATCAGTCTCAGTCCATTCTTCGGCAACTACAGTGCAAGGCCGATACTGTAGAAACTTGCATTTTGTACCCTTGACCTGACCTTGACCTGACCTCTGACCTACTTAAGCAAAAAAAATTGGGCTCTTAAGATCCGCCTTGTTGAGAGCTTTCGATTGCCGTTTTCCCCGTCTTTCTACGACCATCGGTTCGGAAGTTAGACAGGGGGGCAGAATCTGCCCCCCCCCCCCCCCCGAGCAGGGCGCGTATGGCTGAATAGCCCAGCGGGGCGCGGGTTAAATGTATGCATATAGATGAAAGAAAAAGGTTTTGTAGAATCAATTAATTTCGAAGTCGTATATTCAGAGGCCCTAAATAAACTTCGTGCGACCATCAACTTTGCATCTCGAATGGGCCGAGCGGCGAAAACAACCGCGGCTCTGAGAGGGTCCCGAAAGGCTAAGCGCTAGACGGGGCTAACTCACCCGGAGAATAAAACGCCTCATAAAACGACCAGAAAGCGGCCTCATTTCCAGCACTGCGTAGCTCCAGATAACTTTTAAAAGAATGAATACATATATTGTTTATATTGGGGAAGCTAGTCGTTGCGCAACTACTGACCGTCTATGAACCTATGCAGACTTTCATCGATGAGTAGGTCGTCCGATTATGCATGCGATATTTGAGAATCAGCTACGTAAGCAGAATGAATCCCGAATCGTGGCCAATCATCCTTACAGACAGAAAAGCAAGCGATACACGAAAAGACTGAATCGCGTCGAGATTCGACTGAGCTAGCTGTGCAGGCCCCGGGGACCACCGCGGGAGGTGACGAAAGCCGTCTGATTTCCCCGCTGACCCGTGTCCAAATGTCACCCTGGCTCTGGGCCCGATCCGTGCTTCAGGTTTTAGCGTCTCAATCGGAGGCGCTAAAATGAATCACGTGATGATGCAGAGACGATGTGTAGTGCGATTGATCTGCTGACCCAGATTCGCTGTCGGGAAATACATTTAGTTATAAACGTCTGTACCTAAACCATTCTCATAGACACACTCGTATACTGTACTCGTAATCATAGATCTCGAATTGCAGAGGTCTGTGATTAAATCTGACACACGCGTGTGCCTGTTCCAGCCGAGCTTCACGCCTGGATTGTGGTATTCGTGCTTCCCATCAACTCTGCGGTGAACCCGTTCCTCTACACGTTCACGACAACCAAGTTCTACAGCAGGATCAAGACGGTGACGACCAAGTACAGCAGCTGCATGCCCAAGGGGCCGCGCAGGGAGTCAGGTGGGTCTCGATGGCATTGTTCTTTCATAAATGCTCCGTCTTACTCGTATTTCCGAGCCTATGATGTTTCCATGTGAATGAAATATATTAGAAACAAACACCTTTACCAATGATGTTTCCTATTTTCGACCGTATACTGATAACGTGTTTCTCGCAGGTTCAAACGCCGTGACAAAATCTCGACTATTTGTGGAATTTTATCAAGGACTAGAGAGGTGCGAGTTTGAGTGTTTATTTAATTGCAAGAAAGTGACAAAGAGCTTTTGGCATTCACCACTGATCACAGAGGGATTCTTGCTTCTAGGAAAACAGAAATAGAACGGAGCTTTCATACCAGACAGGCATTCTGCGTTCTCGAATGACAAATAAGTCATCAGCAGAGCTTATTTGCTACGCTATCTCACGAAATATTATTTGTTGATTAGTGCTTCGGCGAATCACGCTACAAGCGTTTCTTCCGGGGTGCCAATCTAGCACCGGATAGCGGCCCTAATTGCGGGCGGCGGTGCTCATTAGAGGTGCTCGGCGGCGCTCTCGTGGCTCGTGGCTGCCATCAGCGCCCACTGCACGGTCCACGGGGATATCATCGGCCGCGACACCCCTAATCCTCCGCTCCCCCCGTCGGCGAGACGGCGACGACGCGGCGACGTGCGCCGCCTCGCCGCCGCCGGATACCGCCGGGAGCCCCCGCCCGGCCCGTCCCCCTGCTGACGTCACACCCGGCTCCCTGCTGACGTCACACGCTGTCTGCCGACAGTGAACAACACGGGATCGGAGAGTGTGGCGTTCACTCAGCGCCACAGTCTGCAGGTGCTGCCTCCGACCGCGTCAGAGCACCACGGTCCGTCACCCACGCCAGGCGACCCCCTGCTCGTGGCCAACAACGTGGCTGACTCCAAGTGCTAGAGGAGGCACATAGGTGGCAGCGTTGAGGTCAGCAGGTCACCACGGAACTGTGTGTGAACAAGACTTGTCTGGGGGAGAGTTGTGTTGTGCATTTTTGGGCATAGGAATGGTAGATGTATGGAGTTGTTGCAATAATTATTGTTGAAAAGAGCTTACAAGTACCTACCACCCTAGTGTAAAACAGTGCAGTTTTGGCTCAGTTTTTCTTAGATACAAGACCCACTACATATGACAGGAATGGGAGCGAATTTTCGCTGATCTGTAGCTACGAGGGATGATTCTTTGACAGAGACCTGTGAGCATTTTCGAACATACATATGAAGGGGGAGCGAGGCAGCTGACAGAGATGAGGACGAGGCGGTAAATACTCATTTCATCAGAGACGTATTATCATGGTAAGGTAGTCATTGTCGTCCCTTTTATACTCATATTACTCATCCCACACTAAAGACACTCACATGGATGATGATTGAGATAGAGCTGAGGCTGGTGTGGAAGCGTGTTGGTATCTGAGTGACGAGCGAAACAAACTAGTGTCAGAGTGAAGTGTAGATGTGCACAACTATGGTCCCAGCGTCGTACAATCATCATTTTTTACAATATGCATACTGCATACGTAGTTGACGTAGTTACGCATTGTGAGCTTATTGTGTAGACCTATTGCAATATGTGCTATGTCATTTTCCAGCTTAGTTTTAGTAAGCAGTACGCATTTATAATGCGTGATTCAACGTTTTCATTCATTACGCTTTAAGCCATCATCATACTTAGAATGAAGGCACGACTGCTTTGTATGCTTTGTATTTTACCTTGTTTTCTGTACACATTTTCCAAGCGCTTCATCTGCATTAGCGCTTGGCATCTAGACCGCACAGTTACGGGTGCATTAAATTGGACGCATGATACTTGTTAAGGTCATCGGAAGACCTTTTTTTCTCGTGTCACCCGAGCGAGCTTCTGTTGTGTTCTATGTAATGTAGTGTTGTGGGGATTGGGGATACAAGAAGCTGACGGAACTTTGTGCCGAAGTGAAGCGAACCGCGTCGCTGTCGCCACCAGGCGGCCGCAATGGTAAGCTCTTGTTGCGTACATTGACGCCGCCGGCAGCACCTGCCACCGAGCTCCTGACCCGATGGGGCGTACTGTGTAGTGTGCAGCCAGCTCAGAACATTGTTTGAGAGTCGGATATCGAACATCATTCAGAGAGTCAGGATATCCTTCTGCTCCGATTTATTCATGTCCACATACGTGAAAGATATAGCACAGTGTCAGACAGTCCTATCTTCTTACCGTGTGCGTCGTGCACTTCAAAAACACGGGCTGACTGGACTTATCGCCCCCAAAACGCCCAGTATCCATTAGCGTACTAAGCTGGCTTCATCCAGCGGACCAACCCAACCCACAGCAGCTTGTAGTCGCGTGTCAATTGTGAGGGTTGGCGGGTGACTCGATGTCCTTCATGTTTATAGATCGATGGCCCAGACGCTGATCTTACGTGTGCCTGGCTCAAGAGTGAATGTGCAATGTGCGATGTGTTTGTCACAAATTTAGGCTTGTGTATTTGTAACCATGTGTGAGATACCTACTTAACTGTGTTTCAAAAATTCTGACACAAACGCGAAAATTGTGACACAAATGTGGTACATGCTGCACAAATCTTGGCGGCTGTTGTACAGAACAACTGTTTCATGTACCATTCTGTCGTAGCTGAGTGACCGTAGGCGTATTTTTTTGTGAGGTGACCCTGCCGGACATGGTTATCTCCGGGTCTCTAATGTGTGTGCCCGTACCTGTGTGAGAACTGAGATCTGCCCTGGGTAAATGTACTCAGTGTCATGTATTGACCCAAAACTACCCAAGAAGCGTCCCAAGGCCAGTGTATACGTTTATTTTGTTTTTCGCGTGTAAATCAATGTCATCAACTGAAGGTAAATATAAGACATCGTATGTGACAGGATTATTTATGTACAAAAGTCGAAAGACGAGAACTCTTTTTCACTCGTTGACATCTTTAAAGATGCTGACAGCAAGGCTGAACGCAATGACCGCGATTCGCGATCCATTCAGCGGTGTGGTGGCCTGATAAAATTATCAAAAAACACGCACAATGGTGCACTTTACCTATCCCGCCGGTGAGCTCCCATCAGGTTTGTGCGGCCGATATATCGGAGGTGGGCGGTCTGACCTCTGGGTCGCCGCCCTGGGGCCCGGAGGCTGTGGCCGGCCGCGGATCCGTCCCTGGTCGCTTGGTGTGCCGCTCAGCGGCCGCGTACAGGCCTGTGAAGCCGATAGCTGTGGCCACCAGTGCTGACGCCACGGCGCCGTAGCCGACCTCGACCCACCAGCGCAGCTCGACGGGCTGCTGGCCGGCCGGCGCCGCCTCCAGCTGGGCGCGCACCGCCGCCACACAGCAGCCGGCCGCCAGCTGCGTCAGCACGTGGAACGTGCCGTGCGAGTGACCCAGTACGTCCCAGCGGCCGGGCCAGCGGCGCTCCGGCCAGCGCGAGGCGTACACGCAGACGGCAGAGGCGGCGCAGAGGGCGGCGGCCGCGCGCAGCGGTGACCAGCTGCCGGCCGCGGCCGACCACAGGAACAGCACCGCCTGGCCGCGCAGCCGCAGCCGCTGGCCGCGGTGCTGGCACCGGCTCAGCCGCGACCAGCAGGCGGCCGCGCAGCCCAGCAGCGCCAGCACCGCGGCCGTGGGCAGCAGCACGCCATCCAGCCAGCGCTCCTCGCCTCCCCCGCTGCCGTAGGCGTGCTCCGCCATCGTCATGGCCAGTCCGAGGAGGGTGATCCCCGCGTAGTCCAGACCGTAGAACAGTTGCGCCACCGCCGGCGAGACGGCCGAAAAGCCGTGCGCCAGGAACGACGCCAGCGATGACAGCGCGACGGAGAGGAGCAGCAGGTGGTAGGGCCGCGGGTCGGCGCCGTTCTGAGGGGGTACGGAGCGCAGCAGCTGCCACAGGTACCCCAGCGCCGGCAGCAGAGCCGACCACGAGTTGAACAGCTCGTTGGTGGGTAGGAGCAGCGCGCGCAGGCAGAGCGCGAACGAACCGGACGGCAGGTAGCCGCCCGTGATGTCTGCGGGGGGCGAGAGATAAACAACGGCGTGACTAACATCGTTGATAGTTACAACTGCCTGAATTGAGGAAGAAAGCCAAGCTTATGAGATGTCACTGGAGCTATTTTCTGAGTAAATACCTACTGCGTTCATACTGCGTTGCTGCATGCCCCGCATCAGCATTGATTGATTTTGTACCCTGAACTCGTAGAAGCAATCTTTCTAGCGCAAGATCACATGCGGCTAGCAACAAGCCCCCAAATTGGATGTCTATTCACATCGAATTTGTTCACTGACCAATAATGAATGTCCCCATATCTAATCAATCATCAATGTCCTCTATACGGCACATAATGCATTCTAGGAATATCCACTGGAACATGACCACGGCTTTCATAGCAACAGCTCACATCGGTCCCCATAAATAACTCGCTGTACTCACAGGGCTCCCGTCGCATGGGCTCCACTTCTGTGTCGCTCAGGAGGCGCACGGTCGGCTGGACGGTCCACTTATCGTCAGTGACGGCGAGCAGCCAGTGCGGCAGCGCCAGCCGCCGGTGACTCCGCCGCCGAGCCGCCGTGTCCAGCTCAGAGGCGCTCTCGGTCGTCCAGCGCTGAGGCTCGCCGGTCGTCGGCGCCGACTCCATGTTGGGCGCCGACTCCATGTTGGTACTCGGTCGTCACAGTGGCTGCCGTTAGCCACGGCGTTCTGTTTGACTCGCCGGTCAGAGACAGAGGGCGCTGTCCGGGGCGCCGGGTTCAGGTGTTAGGGATGCACAATGCACATGCATCCGCCGCCCCACGCCAGGTCGGCGCAGCTGAAAACAGCGGGAGAGCGCACTTGAATAATTTGCATCAAATACTGACGATCTAACAGATGGATGCCAAATATAAAAGCTGAATTTTGTACAAATTAATAATTTTCGAGCGAAATACAGAATTTGACTAAAGCATTACTGATAAATTTAGGCTACCTGCTATTTCAGGTGAGAAAATAATAATACAGGTGGTGTTCCAAATGAAGGTGATGAAGTTGTTAGTCTGTTTCCTTGGGAACGAAAAACCAGCTTCGACTACCTTCACTTTAGATGTTTCATCTCAAGCTCAATCATGCATTAGTGGCATGAATGCCAATAACAGTGGCCATTCAAAGGTCAACAGAAAATAAAAAGTAACATTCCAAACCACTCACCTCTCGCTCACAGTATCCCAACACAGATGGATCCCCCAAGACCGCAGCCGCCGAAATCCACCCTGGCCATCAGCCCGCACTGAATGGGGCGCGTCCGGCCGTGTCTGGCCGAGGCAGGATGTCGGCGCGGTCTCTCTCACTCCGGTGTCATCCAATGGACCGGATGGCCGACGCGGCTATACCAGAGTCCGATTCCCGGCCCAGACAATCGGTCGTTACTGGGAACTATCGGCTCCGGTGTACCTATGAATGAACTACTCAACGGCAGCCGTATATGTCGAGATTGAAATAAAAATATTTAGTTTTCGCTTCTGTTACGGGCAATAAAACGCGTGTAATTATACCGGCACTTAAAAAGACATGGTAACAGGGTATGATCATGTTTGTATTTGTTGCATAAAATAACGCAAATGAAGATTATAACGTCACCAATCGATTGATCTATGTAAGCTCTTCCTGCCCACTATCATCCAGTGAACAGCGTGGTTCAGATGAATGGTTGAATGATATTGTCGTTTATCAACATCCATGAAATATGTATTAAAACGGACCAATAAGTTTCATGTAAATCAACATTTGTATTTAACGCAACCAGTTTCAACGTTGAAGTGCCGCGCGGTAGGGATGAAAGTCATGTCACTTCTTGGAATCGCTACTATTACGAAACAATGGCTGAACCACTGTCATGTTTTATGACCTCACATAACACTAGCTCACCGTGGCAAACCAACCGATCTCCGGAGACTTAGCTGTCCTCCAACTGCGACTGTCAGGTAGATAACAACTAGGTAACTCTACAAACACACTTCATACCCTACGGGAACAAATACGAAATAATTGATGAAATAAATAGCCACCGCCGGCGCTGTTAGACAAGCCGGACGATTATAAATATGAGTACATCAACAACAACGAACAACAAGGTCACGTATTCCAAGCCGCCCAAGAACAAGAATCAAGCAGCAGAAGCGCGTTCAAAGGAGCACATCCAAGAACGCCTCGGAACAACCAGTGGGTCAGAAGCGCCAGCCAGGAGCGAACTGTCCCTATCATTCAGCAACACACAGTCTGTCCGTCTGTCACCACAGTCTGTCATTTCCTGTTATCACAAAGTCGATCTGTCAGCCCACCACGATCACAAGTCACCTTTGGCATCCATCAACTTCTTCTCGACTCAGACTTCACGGACCAGTGCAAACTTCACTCAACTCCCAGTCTCCAGTCCCCCGCCACAGCCAGTCCCATCATCCTGATCTCCCCATCACCTCAAGGCGATCACATCATCAGACTCATCCCTCCATCACAGCCAGCCTATCAGGCTTCCTCAGTCCATCCACCCTCCTCATCCGACGACAGTGGCACCAGAGAGCGGCAGCGCAGCCCCACGAGAGTCCCTCTCTTCGACAGAGGCTGAGGGGAAGGTGTCCGCTCCGGCGGGGGGCGAGGGGTGTCCCCCGGCCTCCTCTGCGACAGCCGGTGACAGCAGGGAGTCGGACAGCTCCATCTGGCCTGGGTAGCCGCCGTCGGCCCCATCAGCGCCACCTGGCTCGCTGACGGGGGCACCTGCGGTCGGGCGGTGGAGGTGAAGGTGACAGGTCAGAGGAAAGGGAGACAGAGGATGTGACGGGAATGGGATGGGGTGGGATGGATCGATATCGGAAGAGACGGTAAAGGGACTGGATGAGACGGGGACGAAAAGAGAAAACGATGGGACGGAATGGGACGTGAGACTAGCACGGGATAAGGAGATGGGATTATGAGGGCGATCCGTTCCGTCGTTTCCATCCTCAGAACAGTCCAATCATGCTCCTCCAAGCCTCAAACCCCCCGCTCCGGGCTGGACGGGCAACTTTATCCTACGCGGGAAGCTCTTATCGGAGCACACCCGTAGCCGGGTGCAGTGAGTGTAATGGGGGCTGGGCGGCCTGTCCCATTGGATGGGCTCAGCCCAGGTGACTCACTATAGCCTGCCCAGACCAATGTCTTTCCCTAATTCTTACCATCCTTCCGGCTCTGAAATGGTCTCGTGGGACCGAAAGGGCGTAACCTCTAACCTAATAAAACAAACAAACAGAGTGGAAAAGGAAACGGAACATGCAAGGATGATGAGCTGAGACGGGATGAAGGGAAAGGGTGCATCGGAGAAGGGAACGGGAAAATTAATTATCGTGCAAGTTGCGATTGCATGAATGGGAGGACGGATGTTATCGAAAATTAAGGTAAGATATCTATACGAATAGGTACAAAGTAATGGATGAATCACAGAAACTAATCAAATTGGATGCCTGCGCCTGGTTACCTGACTTGACTACGGTCCCATTAGCCATAATGGCGGAGGGACTCAAGACTCAAGAGGAATACAACGTATTACTCTTGAGTAATGTAATAAACGAAACGTTTTCCTGCTGACTTTTATCACTCGCAACAAAAAAGAACTGAGACATCAATTACGCAGAAATGTGACCAAGTAGTGCCTTTGACAAGCAGCCTTGTTTACTCTAGATAAGCCGCAAGTCCCATATACGGACATCGAAATAAGATTAACCCGCGCCCTAGTGGGGTCTGTTTATAACGCGACCTGTTGGGGGGGGGGGGGCTATTTTTTGCCCCCCCCCCCTCGTATCTCCGAAACTACTGGACGGATCCGCAAAATTCAAACGGCGTTCGAAAGGCCTGTCAAATTTGTCGAAGGAAACTAAATTTCATTGACCTCGGGGTCACCGATGACGTCACAGGTCAGGTCAAAGATGAAATGTTTCACCGTTCACGGGTCTTCTAGGGAATGCGCTATAACACCGAGGAAAACGCATTTTGTCGAGAATCAGCGGTAGGGCGTCAGTTGCCTAGTAGATATGTTGCTATTAGAGGTCACTGGCAATACCAGGTCAGGTCACAGGTCAGGTCACCAAGGGTCACAACTCACAGGTCAGGTCACATCAGCCCAACTTTACTAAGGTTGTGTGATGCATGTTTTATGGCCAATTTTTCATTTCCAACTCAATGGTGTTGGTTATAAGACTATCAGGTACGGTTTAGGTCACTTTCTGGTGAAGTTCAGGTCAAGGTCAGGTCAAGGTCAGGCCAAAAAAGGTCAAATTTTAAAGTTGATAGTTTTGCATAAAATGGGTATTGATTCGATGCAGCTCGTCACAGGGAGTCTAATGGTGGTCTTTGTTTTGCGCTACGGGGTCTAGAATTGCTAAAAATTGAGTTTGAAAATTTGACGTCATCAATTTTGCTTTTCGCTATAACTTCGCCAAAAAAAGAGTTATCAATCTCAAATTCGGTATGTGGATGGAAGGCGGTAAGGACTATCACATATATTCCGGACTTTGCGAAATTCAAAAAACTTTTTGGATTTTTCGATTATTATATCCAAAAAATCTATTTTTTATTTTTGGGGGTCAAAATCAAAAAATTTCAAAAATCCGAGATAGCAGTATTGTAGCCCTGTCCAATCTACAGCTTTTATGTCTTTATCATTTTTCTGTATTTGCAAAACTATAGGCCTGACAGCTCTTCCCGCGAAACCCTTTTTTGGGTCGAAAACGGCAGAACATGACGTCACTCTGACGTCATTTCCGGCCAGCCTTTGGAAAAAATTTTGGTCACAATGTGTAAAATTGATGTCCGGGAGGGTACTGAAAGTTTGGTGACGATCGGCGCAGCGGTTCTGGAGATATATCGAAAAGTCTGGAGGGGGGGGGGGCAAAAATAGCCCCCCCCACCAGGTCGCGGGATCAGCATAGTCAAAACCAATAGAGCGTTAGGTATAACCAGACAACGATTTAATTACGTTTTCTAAAATGATCAATCTCTTTAGTTGGGACAGGACCAAGTGGAGTCTAGATGCGACTCGATCCTGATTGGCTGCTTAGCGACCTGTCACGTGACCGGAGTGACCCACTGACGGTCGATCAGCTGTCGGTCCAGCCAGTCGGTAGTTACACATACCATGGTAATTTTGTAAACACACCCGAGCCAGATGACAGACGAATAACAGAGAGCAACACAGAACACAATAAACAACGCTGGTGGGCTGTCCGACCCTCTAACAACCGGCTGATAGTCGGACCAGGACTGACACCCGAGCCCAGAGGACTGACCTGGGGGCGACAGGTCGGACAGGTAGGCCACGCCAGAGTCGTCGCTGACCACCTCCTCCTCAGGAACACACAGCCGACAGACGGGCGGCAGGCGGTGCGGCCCGAACGGGCCTGTGGAGGTCATAGACAGAGGTCATCGGAGGTCAACATGATATAGTGATGCAAGATTCGTATCACGGGAGTCCAAGGTCACGGCATATTTAGCGCATTGAGGTTTTGAAGAGTCAAAAGAATACCAAGAGAAGCTGAAATATAAAAGTAGATCCTTCCATCACCACGTCCCTCACTCCCTTTCTTCCCCTCTATTTCAGTCCCCAGTCTACCTTCTTTCCCCCTCCACCACGACTCTGACTCTGCCACCCCTCCGTCGCGGCACGTACCGAGTACGATGTCAGGGTTCTGGTACTCCCTGAACGCGCCGCTGTGGTGGTCGGGACGCGTGCGCTGCCACACCGGGTGGTGGGGGCGGATCGACATCACCTGTAAAGGAGAAGGACTAAGTGCGCAGCAATGGGACATGGCTGCAACCGGAGTCACACAGGAATCGCATGATTGACGCGTGTACCGCGATCACAACATGGAAAACGTCTCCATCCAGAGATGCGTTGGGTCTCAGGGCATACACACTGCCTATGTATACTCATTGTATAGTCTAAACTTTTGGGCATCAGGAAGACTACGTCAGCTCTTGTGGAGCTAAGAAGGTCAGGTCGGTCCTAATTCCTCATCAGACCGGCTAGATCTGTGTTCCGCCCAAAACATTGAATGGTGATTTGTTTCACCAGTAAAACGGTCCATCTGACAGGGTTACCTCACAAAACGCTCATGACTGAGAGAAAGAATTAAAGTATAGAAGTTCAGCGTCGTGCAAGCCAGAGAACCGCCAGTAACGCGGGACAACACCACACATTGACAGCCATTTGTGTCACACCAGCAACAGTGCTGTGGTTGTTGCTGGAAGGCTATTCGCAGAGTTCCCAGAGCTACCTGTGTGTACATTTTGAACAGACCGGTATCCTAGCGCTACGCGTCCTAGTGCACCTTTTTGCGAATGTGCTCGTGCATTGACCCGAACCTTTGGAGACGAATGTAGCTGCCCAAAAACCGATCAGCGGCTAAATGCGGGTCGCGTTACCTTTTACCTAGAACTTTTTTACCAGGTCCGGGTGTGTTTATCGAGTTTTCTGCCTGCGACAGCTGCCGCTTCCGTGCACTTTCAACGGAATGTGGATTGATTCTGAATGGGATTTAGTTCTAGTATTACAGGGCGAGCCAGAAACACGTCCATCAACACACGAATGGATCCGCAGATAGCGACGTAGCAAAAGCATAGGTACGAACCAACGGAGATTCGTCAATACAGCGCGCATGAACTTAACCCGCGCCCTGATGAGGGGGCATTTTGGCCCCCCTGTGGTTTTTCTTAAAGAGCGAGAAAACGGCGGCGCGCAGCGCCGCCAAATTTTGGGTACCTTACCGGGCATCAATTTGACACCTTCACACAAAATTTCAAGTCGTCACAGGTCACCTCAGGTCAGGAGTTATTGAGGTCAAACTGAGGTCATGTTCGAGTAAAAATGAGCAAAAAACATGACATCTTGAAACGCTCACCAATTCTACAGTTAACAAGCAATTTTAAAGTTCTTTATGTGGTTGTGTAGAAAAAAGACGGCGCTACAAAACTGCCATCTCGGATTTTCGAAATTTTGGGATTTTGACCCCCAAAAATAAAAAATTGTTCTTTTTAGAAAAACTCAAAAAATTCCAATTTTTTCCGAATTTCGAAAAAAACCGGAATATGTGTGATAGTCCCTGCGCTGTTCGATATACATACCAAATTTTAGATCGACACCTCTTTTTTTGGCCAAGTTATAGCGAAAAAACTGTTAAAAATTGATGACGTCAAATTTTTGAACTCAATTTTTAGCAATTCTAGACCTCGTAGCGCAAAACGGAGACCACCATTGAACTCCCCGTGACGAGCTGCATCGAATCAGTACCCATTTTATGCAAAAATATCAACTTTGAAATTTGACCTGACCTTGACCTGACCTTGACCAAAACGTGACCTAAGCTGGCCCTTAAGTCTGCCTGACCCACATAATCGCATTTGTCATGTAAAATGGACCATAAAACATGTATCACATGACACTTTCATATTGTGACCCCCAGTGACCTGACCTCTGTGACCTGACCTGGTATCAGTGACCTCAAATAGCAAAAGATGTGTTTGAAGAACATTGCCCCATCGATGATTTTCAATGAAATACATTTTACTCGATTTTACAACGCATTTCTTGAAATGCCTGTAAACGGTGAAAATTCGACCTTTGACCTGACCTGTGACGTCATCGGTTTGACCGAGGTCAATGAAATTGGGTCACAAGGTAGTTCCCCGTTGGGGCTATCCAGCGCCGTTTACCCACTGACGTTTACCGCTTGTCGCTATGTTGCGTGGTTCTCGAGATCTTAGGGGGGGGGGGGGGCAAAATGCCCCCCCCCATCAGACCGCGTTGCTCGGCAGAGTCCATCAGGGCGCGGGTTAACCCGCGCACCGACGGGGGTCTGCGCCAACTTCGCACCGACGGGGGGGGGGGGGCGGATGACCGCCCTACCACCTGAGATCTCGAGAACGAAGCAAGATAGCGACAAGCGGTAAACGGCATCGGATACGCACGGTCAAGATCTACAATTTTTACAAAGGTCATTTTCAGGTCAGGTCAAAGATGACGTCACCGGGGTCGAAAAAATCAAAATGGCGGCGCTAGATATGGAGTTTTTCTCGAATAACTTTCGAATTAGTCAAGATAGGAACAAACTAAGGGCATCATCGTGATCCTCTCGTCAATCCGCATCGAATGATATATATGTTGACCTCGAAAGGTCAAGGTCAAAGGTTGACCTCAGGTCACGTGACCTCGAGGTCATCATGTATATCATTCGATGCGTCTTGACGAGCTGAACACAATGAGACCATCCACGCGTCTGTATCTTGTTCCTGTACGGAGTTATTGGCCAAAAACCTTTGGTGACCTTTGATGACGGCACATGACCTCACAGCTGCCCAACAGCAAAACAGACCTCAAGGTAGTGAAGGTTGATCGTATATGAAGTCATGTATGGTATATGGGGCCATTCCGACCCGTTTTAGTGGTAAAAACAGGGAGTTGATTTTTCCCCATTGACTTATAATGGGGAGGTCGCGAAATTGACCTGACCTTAGGTCACCGATATCAAAATTCCGAGATAAACAAATTGTAGCTACTAATGACCTTATAACATCCTGCGACTTTCAAAGGCCTCCGACATCTACTGTAGCTCCGGCACGGTGACAAAGTTGCAAAAAAGTGACGAGGTTGGGTCATTCAAAGTGACCTGGTGACCTGACCTTAAAAGGTAGGAGGTTCAAACTTGCACACCATGTGTAAAATTGATGAGGGAATAGTCGTACCAAATTTCGCGGCGCTACGCGCCGCGGTTTTCCCGCTATTCGCGAAAAACCTCAGGGGGGGGGGGCGGATATCCGCCCCCCCCCGTCGGTGCGCGGTTAACCCGCGCCGGGCCGGGGGGTGTTTGAACACCCCCCTTGCGGTTTTTCGCAGATATCTCACAAACGGCGGCGCGGAGCGCCGCCGTTTTTTGCACATCTGTTCGTGCATCTTTTCCGCACACGTTGTGAAAATTTCAGACCCAGGTCACCTTAGGTCAGGTCACCAGGTCACGCCAAGTGACCTCACCTCAGAAACAATAAGAATGCTCGTCATAGCTACACCGATTGATCGATTGCCTTGAAACTTCCAGCGATTGATAAGAGCAACATTATCTATAAGATGTTTATCTCGGAATTTTGATATCGGTGACCTAAGGTCAGGTCAATTTTGCGACCTCTCCAATATAAGTCAATGGGAGAAAATTGAAAAGCGTCTGTTTTGCAGGAACGCTATTCTAGACACTCTCAAACATCGAGATGTAGGTAAAACTGACACACTGAACCGGAAAATGGCAACTGTGACCCCTCGTTATGTCCCCGAGGTCATCTCAGGTCACGAACAGAATTTAACAGTTTTTCGCTAATAACTTCCGATAGAGACGTGCTAGAGCGCTGAAAACACCTCAGATGTGTTCGGTTCAACGTTGCGGATCGACTGATATGCAACATGACCTTTTTCGGTCAGGTCATGACCTTGACCTGAGGTCAAATTTTCAAGTTAACCTTTCAAGGTCAAATTATAGTTCATTCGACGCGTCTCGACGAGAGGAACACGATGGTGGCAAAAGTAATGTCATGGCTCTTTTGAGTCAAAAGTTATTGCCGAAAAACTTTTTTTCGTAAAAACGACTATTTTTGGAGTTTTTGCCCTCTGGAGACTAAACCGTTGACCTGAGGTCAAATCTGAGAACATTGCTCAGAAAGGTCTGTAAAAGGGCTATCGAATGCGCTTTTCCGCGGCGCTGTAGCTCTATCGGTTCCCGAGATAGCCGTTGGCAGTTTCCAAAATGTTGCAATAGTCAACATTTTACCTTTGGTGACCTCTGGTGACCTGACCTTTGACCTGACCCAAAAAATGACTCAAGTGTTTTCGTCCTTATTTTGGACGTTCTTTCGATTGCTGCCTACCGTGTGTCGCTACGTGGCCCAGGAGCCGAGTTAGAAGGGGGGGGGGGGTGTGTTTAGACACCCCCCCCCGGCCCGGCGCGGAATCTCAGAGCACCGGCCAGGTGCGGGTTAAAACCAGGGATGCGGAGCCGTGGAAATTTCAGACGGCTCCGGCTCCGGCTCCGGCTCCGGAGAAAAAAATCGGCTCCGGCTCCGGCTCCGGCTCCGGGTGAAATGTCATGGCGGCTCCGGCTCCGGCTCCGGCTCCGAGTAAAATGATCCGGCTCCGGCGGCTCCGGCTCCGGGGGCTCCGGCTCCAGGCTTCTACTCAGTACATCCCCCATGCGATCAATTAAATACGGGTGGAAGAAAAAAGGCGATGGGATTGGTACACGTTGCTTCTGTATTTGTATAACAAGGCTATTTTGAATAGCACATTGTTTTACGCCTTTTACTGTCAAACCGAACTAGGTAAATAATTGTTTCCTGTTCTACTGTTATCTATGTTTCCTGTTAAGAAAAGGAGCCGGAGTCGCCCCCTTTTTTTGACGGCTCCGGCTCCGGCTCCGGCTCCGGGCTATATTGTTTCACGGCTCCGGCTCCGGCTCCGGCTCCGGGCAAAATATGCCGGCTCCGGCGACTCCGGCTCCGGCTCCGGCTCCGGCTCCGCATCCCTGGTTAAAACTAAAGGATTTACTTACACACGCTCTGAAGCCATTCGCCGCAAATTATGAATAAATGTATCAATATTACCATGAAATGTCGACAACATGTTGTGCATTATTTAACCAGAAGCATGTCGCATTCCTTACGACAGCGACAGCCGACGTTCGCCGCAATGCGGTGATACTGGATATTTCGGCGTGCCATGGTTAGGGGTCAAAGGGTTCGTTTCCATCGGATGTAGTGCCTACATTCTCGGGCACGTTTGTACCAACGATCGCAGTCAGGGGTGAATCGGTGGTCTGCCAGTGTGAAACAACTGGGAAAGTGTCAGAGCAGCGGCTGGGAGGCACATCTGGGCCAGGCATTAGTGTTTGAAACTTGCCATGTCCTGTATCCTCGTCATATGATCGCTACACAGGCTATTGGTGTTTTATCGTAAGAAGAATACCGGTACTAGATATTGCACAGTTTCTTGCTATTTACCTACTATACTGTTCGTCACAGCCGGCACAGCAGACCGTATGTGGAGCCAGGCACCCGCCCTCACTCCCTAACCCGCAGCTAGCCCGCTCATTATGGCCGGCACGGCCTCAAACACAATAGCTGCCTCCCTACAAAGTCCCGTCTGAGTCACAATACAAAAATCGGGGCGTATTGCAGTGAATTAGTAAAAAGCAAACGCACAAGCATTCGAAACAGTCACCCTACTAGTCAGCACTCACGTCTGTCCCTCACGTCCCTAGTGCACTTGCATACATGCATGAATTGACCGTGAATATACGCCTGAAGCAAGCCGCACCCATAGCGATGACACTCGCAGGCAGTTCATTCAAAATTAACCATAGACGAATGATGTGGTCTAAGAATAGACATAGCACGATATCAACGAACCCCTGGCGTGCCGAAGCTCACCTCGTCGCAGCATTTTCGGCTGACGACGGCGCGGTATCCGATCTGCCTCCAGAGTGCGTCTCGATGTCGCAGGAGGACGGGGTAGCGGCGTCGCCAGCCGTCGCCGTACAGCCACGGCAGCACCTCGAACTTGTACTCCTCCTCGTCCTCCTCCATGTCGTGGGCCAGGTACCTGCCGAGGGATATCGAGACGGGAGGGGTGAACACGGGCCAGGTACCTGCCGAGAGACATCGAGACGGGAGGGGTGAACGCAGGTCAGATACAGCTGCAGCGAAACTGGAGCGGTGAACAGTGAACACAGGCCAGGTATGTACTTGCCGCGAAACGGAGGAACAAGAACATAAGACAGGTACATACACTACGAGATAACGCAGATATGCACAGTTACTTCTTATCAGCTGAAAGCTGAGCATGTGATAAATTACGTCCCACTGTCCGGCGTCAACCTTGACTGAAAAGCCACGGAAGTGATAAGACTTAACGTATTTTTTTAATTATGTCATTGCGCACATACAGAATCTACGACACATTTATGAAACTCTGTGCGTTTTCGTTCATTATGAAGTAGCATAAGTATGCACAGCATAAGTATGCACAGTCTATAGCGCCGTTGGCGGGTGCAGTCTCCTCAGTCTGACGACGAATGACAGCGCCAAGTAGTACCAGCACGCACTACGGATAATTTCACGAGCCATTGGCCACACGGCGCATGAAACCCGGATGCAACTGAGACCTATGCTCAGCGGCCACCTGTCTTGTCTCTTGTCGCGTGGAAAGAACGGTACAAGCAAGCACAGGCAACCATGACAAGCAGAGAGTAGTGTGGCATGGTGGGTCAATGTCAATGTGCTCGCCATGAACGCAGTCGGTCTGGTATATAAACCACCTATCATGTCACATCTCAGATATCGCAGACGCTCGCGTTAATCCGGTCGCATGTTATATAATGTAATGAGCCCAGAAACGTGATTTATTTTCCAGTGTTTTTTTTTCATCCTTTGACAATAGAGTTCTTAATTGATGATTAATCTTTCGCTGAATAACTGACTAAATATAACTACTGAGAACTTATATGAGCATTCTGTGAAATTGGCATTGGCATATCTGACACACTTGCGATATTTCCGATACCTACATTCGGTTTCAGCTATCCTTGCCAGTAAATGCACCATTTATTTTGATAGATAATCCTTCCGGCTCGCAGTTCAGGTTGCTACATGGGAAACATCTCTTTTTCGTTTGTTATTGAGCATGGCATTCGAGTTTGTCTTGGTTATGCCTTGATAAATGGAAGCTTTGACATGGCTGGCCTGATTGGGCTAAACAGCGCTCAAGTCCACGCCCCGCCGGATCTCCCGGATTTCCACGCCCTCTACATACACACGGTTCAATATGAGCCGTACTGTCAGTCTTAAAAGTACCGCGCATCGGTGCGGTGGATCCACCAATCCCCACTGAGGAGGGGATGGTAAATTTGAGACTCACCGAACCACTTGACCTAAGGGATGGATGAGGATATGTCAATTGGTTCGCCGTTCGGTGACTCTCAAATTTAGCAGCCCTTGCTCGACCGGGATTGATGGATCCACCGCATCGATGCGCGGTACTTTCGAGACTGACTGTGCAGTGTGCATTGCGCGGCTGTTGCTAGCTTACTGGTAAAGCACGATACTTCGTAACCACTGAACATACCGACCCGATCCGACCCATGACACTCAGTCGTGTGAGGTGCTCTGCGGCTCACGGAGGGCAGCGTAAGGACACCGCTCGTCGCAATCGGAGCGGAGCCGCCTTATCCGCCGACGCAGTGACACTCTCTGCTCACGGGCGCACCTAAAGGGGACTCCCGTGGACCCGTGCATTGACTCCTAGCCCGGCCAACCGCAGACGTCACCAAATCGCCCACTCCGAGACCGGAGACGGCCGACGGTCTGCGCTCGGCTCAACCCACGTGGCTCGCCGCGCACGGAGCCGATCTTCGAGTCGCCACATCTTTATAATGGCGGCTTTTCGAGGTGGGGAGGGGGAGACGACTGCAAAGCTTCGTAATGGATTGAGCTATTGATTCATGTGCTCGAATCGAGCTACCTGATAGCAACGCTGGTCAGTACGAGCGTCCCATCTGGTTGTCGGAGTGCGGCGGTGGAAGGAGGACGGTGACGCGCGGTCAGCGGTGACGGAGGCGAGTGACGCACGGTGGACGGAGTGGACGGTGACGCGCGGTCAGCGGTGGACGGAGTGGACGGTGACGCGCGGTGGACGGAGGACGGTGACGGACAGTGGACAGAGTGGATTAGCGCAGGTGGACTGAGTTAAGTGACGCACGGTGGAAAGTGGACGGTGACGTGCAGTGGACGTAGGGGAGTGACGCAAATGGACAGAGTGGATTAGCGCAGGTGGACTGAGTTAAGTGACGCACGGTGGACGGAAGACGGTGACGTGCAGTGGACTGAGCGCAATACGAGCAGTGGACAAAGTGTTTTTTTTTTTAGATTTTTTTATTTACCAAGATCGTCGACGGGATTCCCATTGAAAGACGAAGTCAATTCAGTTTTCAGCAGATACAGTGGTGACGGTCGTCGTACGGAAGACCGTGACAAGCGGCAGACAGAAGGTGGTGTGATTCGGTGGCCGATAGTGGTGTGTCATTTATTGCTCAACAGCGGTGTCACGTCAGTAGACGGGGGCGGTGTCATTCGGTGAGTGGAGGAGACCGACGGTTGTGAATGTGGCCGCAGATCGAGTAAGTGGCATTAAGCCTGGAACACAGCCTTCAATCAGGCAAATCGCGTCTGAGCACCTGCCATTAAAATACATAGCATATTTTTGCCGGTCCCGTAGCTCAGTTGGTAGAGCGTTGGACTCCGCGTGGTGAGAGCACGCGTTCCCGGTTATAACAGTCCGGGTTCGATGCGCGACGGGCGCTTGACATTTATGGGCCCCTGACAGGTATGGTTGCGGTTGGTGGCAGGCCGTGGCCATGCGAAGTCAGTGAGGGGACCGGCCGTGCGTGGCTATGTGCGCACGTTAAACTTTAGACTCTAAATTATGCCATAGAACCGGAATTGCGCGATCGGAGGGTAGAGGGCAGGGTCACCGCAACAAGCTTCGCTTAGCGGTGGCTCTGTCCTTGTGAATCCTTCCTTTCAAAAGGTTCGGATTAAATTTATATATAAAAAAATCTGCTCCCAAATTTAACGCGTAGCAATGCGCTACGAATTAAAACGAAAATATACCATGTATTCTAATGGAAGATGTTTAGACGCGATTTGAACGTGTGAAAGCTGTGTTCCAGCCTCTAGAAAGGACAGACTCAAACTAGGTAGAGGAGGGGTAACAGTTGACACACAAGGGACGTTCATCGCGGTGTCTGAGGAGTCCGAGGTGAACACCAGGTACAGATACAGCGTCGACGGAGCTCGTTAGAAATGGCTGACGGGTCCGGCCGAACGGTCGGCTCGAGCCGCAATAACGAGCGATAACATACCTATCGACCAGGAGACTGGTCTGCGCCGAATGCCAGCATTGGAACGGGACCAGCGGCTACCAGAAACCAAACCAGACGAAAAATGGCTTTTCAGTACATACCTACCTCCCCATAAAGTTGTGCCCCTTTTCTGGTAATTGGATGACGAGCAAAAAGAGGGATTTTTTAACTTCAAATCATTTCCGGTGCTCTGAATTTGCGCTATAAGACCAAGCCAGTATGTTTAAAATTGATAAACATCTAGTAGCTGTTTCAGCTGTTTGAAACATCTGTTACTTGTTAGTTGTTACATGTTTAAATGTAACACCATGGCTTCGGTGCGGGATAATAACACTTGACCGGGTACTCTAATAACATTAACAGCGTCATTATATGCTCATCCAAAAACACATCCTTAGCTACACGCGTCAAATGGATCGCTGAATCCGCAGGTGCACGGGGACCGGCGCACTACTCACAGTCCAACCAATCCTCACAGGCTAAGCCACAGTCCCGACTCACAGTACAGTCCCAGTCCCGACTCACAGTCCGACGAAGAAGTTGTAGCGGGTGTACTGGCGCCAGCTGTAGTTGGCGCGGATGAAGTAGGTGAACACCATGGCGACCAAGTACTTGTCGGCATAGCGGCGACACGTGTCTCTCTCGAGAAAGGCCGCCACCACGCTGTCCTCTGCGGGAGGCATGGGGGGGGGGAGGCGGAGGGCTGTCATTTGGTGAGCGGCGGGGGCTCGTGGACGATTTTATCTTTAACCTTAACCTGACCTTCATAACGACCCGTAACGAGTATTGCATGCTAACCCGCGCCGGGTCGGTAACGACTAACGAACGAGTATTGCATGCTAACCCGCGCAGGGTCGGTGCTCTTTTCGTTTCCAAAATATGCGTCGATTTGTCAAAGATTATCGGAAAAGGCAAAATTTGACTTTCAATGGCTTCTAGTGACCTGCTTCGATCTGACTTAAAAATGACCAAGTACCTATAAGCAGAGTCAGAAAGAGCAGGAGTCAGAGTCAGAAGCAGAGTCCAGGAGCAGAGTCAGAACTCAGAAGGGAATGCCCACCGTTGAGGTTTGATTATCAATGCACCTTCCGAACCCACCTAGTAAACGGAAGAAAACTTCGATGTCAGCGGTTGTCACCGTAAGCTTGGATGCACTTTTGGAGTTCCAGTGGTGTGCACGGTGTATGGTCTTTAACTTCCTCACCCGGAAGTTTTGCGGATGAGCCAACTTTGGTAAATTGTTGTTGCTTAAGCACTCAAATGCTTGATTCCTCACAGCAAAGGCACCACCAGACAATCCAAAATGCTTGCAATGCTGACTAGCGCTTGAAAAACCAGTTCCTACGTTACCAACACAACTGCGTTCATGTCCATGATGGGAGAGAGATACAAACATTTTCTAACCACCACGGAAGTTTTCAATCTTCACGGACTAAATCATGTAATCGATATCACCAAACTCGAACCAAACTGAGTCCCTTAAAAAATCATATATTTATATACACTGTGAAAAAAATCAATAATTCGAAAACTGCGGCTCAATCAACAAAACTGCACCACTGCACCGACTGCACCGACATTGAAGTTTTCTGCTTCGCGGCCTGGTGAAATCAGCTGTTAAAATTCTTTTTTTTTTATTGGCGTATTGCGAAACTGAAACTGGCCTACTCATTAAATATTTTCCTTCCGAGATGCAAGTTAATAGAAGTAAATTAAATTTTAGAATATATGTTTCATCAAAATGTGATTTATTTTACGGTGGTAGCAATGGCTTGTAATGAAGAAATGCGATTTTCCTAGGTAGGGAAATACTTTCGCCAAATTTGGTAGCTACAGTTTTGTGGCAGCTGCGCCATGTTTGTCTCGAAACTCCGGTTATGTTGTTGAATGCGTTGAATGCGTGTGATCGCCGGAGGGGGTGGTGGATGTTCTGTTTTGTTTTTTTTTCGCAGTGGACTATTTAGACTAGTAAGTTGTTTTCTCATGTAATTCAGAGTCTTGTCTATTACTTGGGCTCCTGTCTGTATGCCATCTTTACTGGTGTCTTATAAGCTCCTTGAAATAAGTCACATTTATTCAGTAAGATGCAGGCTCAGAAAATTGATATAATAACAATCTGGAATATTTTGTGGCTGCTGCTTATTGGCTTTTGTTCATTTTTTTTTTCATCAAGCTTTCATATTTATTTTACTTATGATGATGCATTTTGAGACCTATTTTTGTTAGAGAAATGTATTCACCTCGTACTCATCTTGTTGCTTCCGACATTGACATGTTGCTGTCTCCTGGAGATAATGGAATATTATTGGATGGTTTCAAAGGGAATAATTATACCCACATCGCACAACATTACATGTACTAAAGCAAAACATTACATGTTTGGTTGTGCACGAGGTTAACTTAGTGCTCACTGGAATGTGTTCCCTTGGAAGTTTGAACTAACTCACCCCATGGAACTAGTTCAAATAAATCATCTCAGTTTTGAGGGATGGATCAAGTTGAATTTGTTAATTGAGAATCAACAGAATTATAGTTGTATGCGGCTACCTGATCTTATTCAGAATAATCAATGTCAACAATGACAATAGCTAGACATGGGAGGTTACTTGAACTTATCAAATTTGATGTTGAAAATTGATTTCATAAGAAGCATGAGAAAGTTTTCTTTAATCAGCCAAAGAGAAATGTTGTTGCAGACTATGGTCACTCAACACTGGTCACTGGGAGTTACTTATAGGCATTTGATATTTTCCTAAAGCTACCCCATGCCATATCAGTTTGTGAATGAATGTTGTTGAATTGTATCAGCTAAAGGAATAAATTAATGAATGTGAGCATCACCTGCTATCATTTTCTGAGTGTTCCCAGGCCATCTGTATCATAATTCAGTGTGCTGGCTGAGGCAGATTAAAACAGGATGCTGTGCCAGATGGAGTGCAAAGCAATGTGTTGTTAAATTCAGTTATTATTTTAAGGAACGATTTGCAATTTGCACACTTGGATATAGCAGGAGGCCTAACTCCTCCACATCCTGACCAGTCACCAGGCCAGTAACTTCCATTCTGCACCAGCCTCAAATAATTTTCACTAGCTCCTAATGGCAATACGTGATTGCTTCCAGTACCAGCATTTCCCTCTACCCACAGGCCACAGGCTTAAACAATTGTGACCATGTGGTCCTTGGTTTTTGCCCCAACTGCTTTATGGTTGCAGTAACATCTGATCAGCCCAAATTTTACTTTAACAGAGCAGATTTCTTATCCTGTTACTATCTTGCACTGACTGTAAAAACTCAGCATATTCTTCACACTGGCTGACAGAGTTATTACTTGTGGATATCCATTAAAATCCAGAAATTTTCAAAAACCTTGAGGTGTGGCATTCCTTGTTTGCTGTACGAGTCGTGAATGACTGGAACTGATCCCCGTCTGACTTGTCTGAGGTGGTCTGGGCCTCATTGGTCAGCTGCTTCAAGATAAAGCACATTAGGTTTACTTATGAATTATGGTACATGGTACCTGATTTTCCTTGATTCTTGATAAGTCAAAACTCAGGAATACCGGGAACTCGAGAATAGGTACCTTAGACTCTATACCTAAAAATTCTGATGTGGTGAGGTGAGGTATAGTGATATCTGTGCATGCTTTCTCTTTAGTTCTAGACTGGCTCTCACATACAGCCATGGGTGACAGCTGACTGACTCTGTGTTCCCGTCCCACAGGCCGCTGGTCCGGCTGGGCGCCTCTGATGCTGCCGGCTCACCCGCCGCCCTCCTGCGCCACCCGCTGCGGTCTGTAGGCGCTCCCTGCCGCGGCCAGCTGCTCTCTGCGGGTGCTCTGAGGTCGGGCGGCGGCGGCGGCATGGCGGCGCCGGCTCCCGGCCGCCTCTGAGCCTCTCCCCTGCCCCGCTGCTGCAGCAGCTCGCTGCCCGCGCCGCCCCGCAGCCATGAGCCAGGAGCCGATGATCAGCGATGGCGTGTCCGGCTCCAAGAAACTCTACCGCATCGGCCAGTATGAGCTGGAACAGACCATCGGCAAGGGCAACTTTGCCGTGGTCAAATTGGCCACCCACATCATCACACAGGCCAAGGTGAGGTGACTTGGCTAATGAGGGAGTAGCCATCGACTCTTACATTTTGGTTTAGAGTCTGTCACAGCTGAGTTCGATTTGCGAGCAAAAGTACGTATCGCCAAAGTACGTAGGACAGAAGTACAGCCCTCAGCAGAATGCGTGGTAGGTATTTTTTTTCTCGACAAAACCGATAATAACTCAGAGGCTATGTTATCAGTGACTCGGTCGGAACACATTGCAAATACATAGATGCGACATGCTCCTCTCCTCCATTGGGTCTATCACTAACAAAGTTTACGCCTTTTGTGGCAACAAAATGCAACAGTTTGTTTTGGGGACAAATATAAACTTTTGGGTTTTGTTGTCAATCTGAATGGGAAATGAATACGATGATAAGTCCAATCTAAGGTGCGGAGTTTCACGCGGCTTGCTGTTACGATTTCCGAGTGACCGATAGCATAGTATTCGTGTTATTCTCAGTTTTGTCGAAAGAAGAATGCCTACCACGCTGTTTGCTGAGGGCTGTACATGCGCAAAGCAGTTCTTGCTCAAAAGCTCGTAGGACATAAGTTATAGCTGCGAAACTGTTCGTGTGTAAAAGTACGTAGGCAATAAAGTTCGTGGGAACCAAAGTACGTATCGCCCTGATCTAACTTGACCTGACGTGACCGAACATTAACTAACCTTACCTATCGCCATTCGCCATACGGACATTGACGATGCACAATTTTGCCCGCGACCCCTCATTTGGTTACTGAGAGCCTGGATTCGAGTTGCTCCGGCGCTCGATACTAGTATATGAGAACCCTGACTATAAGGTTGTGGTTGGTGGGATGGTTGCGGCCGTGGCATGATTATAGTATGGTTGGGGCTGATGGGAGCAGGATCAACCAGTAGAAGTCAGACGAGCTTTCCGGCTTTGATGGTCATGCTAAACTTTGGCATCCTAATCCTTCCGATGCCAGGAGTTGCACGATCGGACGTTTGGAATCGGTAACTGCGAAACAAATTCTGCTTGGCGTAGGTGCGGCTCTGTTAGTATGCTCATCTAGTGTTCGACTTTCGAGCGAAAATATTCGAGCTAAGTTTAATAAAAACGTGTTGGCTGTATCATGGTGTGTAACATTAGCTTATCGTGTGCAGGTGCACCATATGTAACCATGAAACCGATGTCTGATTTTGCTTTTTCCTCATTCAGGTGGCCATCAAGATCATCAATAAGACGAAATTGGACGCCGACAACCTCAACAAGATTATGCGGGAAGTGAAGATAATGAAAATTCTCCGGCATCCTCACATCATTCGCTTATATCAGGTACGTTTTGGGCTGGCGCTAGCTCTCTGTCCATTGTTTTCAAGTTTCAATGGTTTGCACGCGCTAGGTGATAGCTATCTGGGCACTACAGAATTTGACATTTTCGTTATCCTTTGGTCATGCAATTGATTGATTATGCCGGATCACGCTATTATAAAACGTATTTATAACAGCGACTCGTGTTTTTTTATATGTACTTTTTACTGGTAGCTGGTGCGCATTTCACAAACCAGCTTGTTGAGAGAAGTTTGTATTGGCCTGTCAGTGAATGGACATTTTTGTGTCCAATTCTGGCTCGCATTGCCTATGTGAGATGCCACTAGTGTGGATTGGGTCGCAATTTGTTTATGGTGTCCAAGGTTAGGTCTCTGCTTTTGACTGTTCGCTGGTGCAAGTCACCGATCACTGACCGCCATTGGCCACTGGCTACCGACCCTCACTGACCACTGACCACTGGCCACTGGCTACCGACCTTAACTGACCACGGACCACTGGCCACTGGCTACCGACCGCCACTGACCGCCGACCACAGTCTGACGGTCACTGACCACTGGCTACTGACGGTCACTGACCACTGGTTACCGACCGTCACTGACCACTGGCTTCTGACGTCACTGATCACTGACGTCACTGACCACTGGCTACCGACCGTCACTGTCCGCCCGACCACTGACGTCATTGATCATTGACCACTGGCCACTGATTTTGACCACTGAACCTCTAACCACTGACCACGCCACTGCAGATGCCAAACTGTTTATGTTATGTTACTGTTGATCGCAGATATAGATAGCAATGACCACTGATCGCCAACCACTGGCCTTGACCATTGGTCAGTACACTGAACCCCTCTAGTGTCTGACCACTGCATTGATCAGCATTGATCAGTGCACTGATCAATGCTAATCCAACACTATGCTTTGACAGTTAAACATTGATCGCTGACCACCCGCCGACCGTTGACCGTCCACCACTGACCACTGACCGGCCATCGGCGACCACCGACCACTGATCACTAACCAATAACCTCATCGATCAATGATCACCGACCACCAACCACCGAACACTGACCGCCGATCATTGATCAGTGTCCACTGATCATTAGCCTGTGGCCATTGACCACTGGTCTCTAGCTATTGATCACTAGCCACTGATCGCCGACCACTGATCTTTCGGTCGTCAGGTGATGGAGACGGAGAAAATGATCTACCTCGTGATGGAGTACGCCAGCAAAGGGGAGATCTTTGGTGAGTGTGCGCTTTGACCCTCCAACGCTTGCCATCATTGGGCCCGTCCGGCTAGATGATCATTTCCCAGCTGATGTCAGAGGATTTCAATGGTCAGCATTTTTATTGCAACCGTATTTCATTGATCTGTTGATGAATAATCTTGAATAATAGCCGCGTGCTTAATTCATTGTTTACTTGTATAGACATCCCGCCCGCACCGCTGGCTACATTACTGATAAATATTTTGACAACGTGAGCTTCTATTTAATGCGGCAGCGGCTTGTGTATTTACAGCAATATATTTCTCTTAATAAGCAGCGAATACCTACCTACTTCATACAGCAGAACGGCTCATTGAATTGCCTGCCGCTAGCCGTCGGCGCACTATACTGGCTGAAGCCCTGTGAAGTTCGGTGGATCACCATAGTTGCGGTACTGCAGTGTTCCTGCCGTTGTGTATGTGAATCATACATAATTGATTTTGAGCATTGCGACACAAAAATGCAGATTATTAGTTGCACGCGTGACAGGGTGAATGTACAATAGCGCATCTAACGAAGTGATGGATCCATTCAGCCCTGGGTCCATTGCGGAGATCCATTCAGCTCTAGGCCCATTGCGGAGATCCATTCAGCCCTGGGTCCATTGTGGAGATCCATTCAGCCCTGGGCCCATTGCGGAGATCATTCAGCCCTGGGTCCACTGCGGAGACCCATTCAGCCCTGGGTCCATTGCGGAGACCCATTCAGCCCTGGGCCCATTGCGGAGACCCATTCAGCCCTGGGTCCATTGCGGAGATCCATTCAGCTGTGGGTTCATTGCGGTCGTGACGCCAGGGGCCGGAGTCGGAACGCAGCCGACGGGTAACGGTTGGTGATGTCGGCGGTTACGGGCTACCTTAAACTGGTGTCGCTACTGGTTGCACCGAGCACCAGCCACCGATAAATCACTCGCTTATGTAACTTCTGGCAGCGCCGGTGAAGTACACCTGGGATTGAAACGGTAGCTGTCAGCTCGACAAGCGGCGTGTCGCTCGATAGGTACTTGCAATGACGGGCAATGTCGTACCCAAGCTGTGGTATTTAACCATAGTATTTGCTGAGGTTGACGTCTAGGGGAATAATTGCTGGTGCTAAGTGTACTACCCCAAGATATGAATGCCGCACCGGTATTTTCATATTTCGAATATTTGTATCTTTGGAATTTAGATTAGAATTTAGAGTGAAACCACCACCGGACGATGAAATGTAGGTATTGTATAGTTGGTATGGTATGTATAGTTGGTATGGATGGAGCAATAATTGGGATGATACCGTCGGATTTCTGGGTAACCGTTTGAGGCTCTACTGTTCCAATAGCTTTGACCTTTACCATAAAGTCAACAGATGGGGCATTGTATGTGGGGAACATGCTACTGGATTTTCACCCAAGTCTAGCGTCGGATGAAAATCTAGAGTCTCCAAAAAATCCAAAATCGAGAGCAGGCAGCTGCAGAGTCTTTATGTTACGGTAGGTAACCTAAATGTTTCGGTGAGGCGTTGTGTCCATCACCTCGTTATTAGTTCGCTATCGGTGAGCTCGCTCTGTTCGGTATCTCTGATTCTGAGGCAGCGCCGGACTATGGCCTGGTCTGAGTTTCGGCTCAGACCCCACCGCGTGCTATTTACACGACCCGGCCAGAGGCATCAGTCGCCCGAACGGCGCCGTTTCTGGGTAACCGTCTGACGTTCTACCGTTCCATTAGCTTTGACCTTCACCATAACGGCTCTGCTCTCATTCGGAACGTTATTAGGACCTCTAAAGGTATTTTGCTCGTTGCATTCGACGTATACTTGGCTAAGGATGGACTTTAGGGGTAATATGTAGCAATACTGAACAGTCAGATGCAATGCCAGAAAATGGTGTAAGATTTGTATGCGTTTAGCTCTTCGACTTTCTTGCCGGATTTGGTGTAACAAATGTATTATTATAAGAGCAGTTGAATATACTCGACTACGGCATGCTCTTGAAGAGTCATTGTGTGGCATTATATTGTGGTTTTATTGCCTTTAAAACAGACGGAACACTAATGTTATCGGCACCTATTCTATGCATGCCATCGGTTAGGCCATCCTGGACACCGAGCACACCAAGGAACGATACTAGACGGCTTGGGACGGCCGGCGCGGCGGCCGGCACGCTCAGATATTCCCCGTCTACTGCTCCTATACTGTCTACTGATCCTATACTGCTCCTATACCAGAGTCTACTGCTCCTTATAGTGTCTGTTTGGGGCGGGCGGTGCCGGCCGGCTATCTTGGGTAGCGTGTCGCTCCGTGCCGTGTAGTGACCCGAGAGACGGCGCCGGAAACACCTCGCCTGTAAGATTCCTGAACATTGTTTTGTCAAAAGTCGGGAATCGTATGAGACAAGATTAAGTCAAAGTTGGGTGTTATAATTCTGCTGGCTGCTAAGATAGATCTCTGGTTTGGTGTTGTTGTATAGGTGGCTGCTATATTTAGTTCGATCCTGGATACGACTGGGATTACTAGCTGTCTGATAGTGTGTTCGCACAGTCCCAGACTGGCAAGTACTCTGGAAGATTGTTCTAAACTGTAGCTTTATTTCTGCGTAGAGGTCATGGTAATGCAGTGAATGCACGATTATATAATGCACGCTATAACGCACGATACCGAAAAGTCACGATATCTTGAATGTCAGTGTTGGGATTTGCTCGCTGTCAATCTCCAAAGCACAGCAGGGATGACTTGTCCTGCTACGATGATTTTTATTTTGAGGGATGATATTTTGGCAGATAGAACGTTTAGAGGCGTTCGGAAATTGATATGTGGTCAGCACTCGACTTTCCCAAGCACAATGCTGAGCTGTATTTGCGTGGAATGGAATAGGTAAGAACGCTAAACATAGCAGGCTAGAATAATCGTCATGTAGCCGAGTTATCGCTCTCTGTGTCGTAACTACGAGTGTTTTGACGCGGAGGCATGCTTGCTAACGCGCGAGGATAGCTTTGAAATTTTACTGACAACGTTTTTGTATGTTCATGATCAAGGCCATATATAGGTTCATGATAAAAATTAGCACGGCTTGGAAAGAATGTAGGCAAATGTTTCAGTTTATACTGCATTTACAATGATGTAATTTAAGTTGAGAGTGGCGAGAAAATGAATGGAATAAGTTGTACCTATAGCCGAAACGATCGATCGATGTCACCGAACCGAAACGTCACCGATATGACCCGAGGTCAACGTTTGGTGAGTGTTCAATGATCATGCATGCATTATCATGCATTTATTATCATTTATTATCATGCATGTATTGTCGTTACTTGCTTCGTTTTGTTAAAACTTTCATTTCCATGTATGTCAGTAGTTACCGATTTATCCACCAACGGAATTCGTGCACGTCACCTGCAGTCTGCTCAATGTATTTTCTTTTTCAGAAACCGCTAAATACATCGTGGATCAGGGCTGCACAGGCTATAACATGTCCCTAGATAGCGCGTTTTAACCCAAGGGTTATCGGTGACGACAGTTTCAAACGTTTCCCAGCAGTAAGAGCATACGGCCTGTTGAGGTCAATCCCCCTTTTTGATATTACACGCCTAACATAGCACCGATTCACATTAATCATGTCTGAGACCGCTACGCAGGCGAAACAAAAGCGGAGATACGCATTGGGAAAGCTTACAAGAGCAAGGCATCGTGCATTACTGATGGTCAATGGTGACAGAAGCAGCGCAGAGTTGTTGAAGGTTCTGCCAGAACTTGATGAAGCTTTCCTGGACTTGCAAGTAATAAATGATCAATATATATTTGCCCTAGAAGATACAGATGAGGTGAAAAGGGCCCAAAATTATATAGCAGAGGCAGAGCTACAGTATCAACAAATAGTGACTCAGATAGAGCAACGATTGTCAGAAACTAAGACAGAACATGATCCTTTTGTTGATGGCTCACAGTGCTCTTCTGCAAGGTCACAAATGTCTGAATCGAAGAAAGCAGAGATCTCTCTGAAGGTGAAGGAACTAGAAGTAGAACAACTAAAAAGACGGCATGAGCGAGAGAGGAAGGCAGAAGAACTAAAGCGAGCCATGGGTGAAACTTTGACATTACCATTGGGGTCCCAAACGTCCAAGGGGGCCTCCATTTGGTGGGGGGCCTCCAAGCAATTAGGGGCCTCCAATCGTGGAAGCGGTAATTTACGAACCACGCCAGGGCCTCCTCTAAGAAATTTTCACTGGGGGACCAGAGGCTCAGAAGCCAAACCCAGGGTACCCTCAAATCCAGTTTTCTCATCGGATTTAGGCCACTTATTTTTCGTCACAGCTCGGATGCCATGATTTAATTTTTTAATATTAATAAAGAAATGATAGGTCACCTGACCCTCGCCTGACCCTACTGGTGGTTCCAGGCCAGCAGGGTGACATTGTATGTAAATTTCCCCCGCGGCGTCCGAAATCGATGAAAATTTCTGGCTTTTTCACTTTCGACAATAAAACAAAATGCCTCTATTACATATAATAAGAATTTAACTGCACAGCATTGCGCAAGGAATCTAACCGACCCCAGAAAGTGTGAGGGTTAATGACCCTCGCCCGCACCTGGGGTGAGGGTTGCCACCCCCCATGTTAGTTTTTTTCTGCTCTACACTGAACATTTTAAAAGCTAGAAACCTGATTTTTTATAGTTGTTTTTCTATTTTTTCTCAGCGTCCATTGGAAATTTCAAGTTTCTGTGGCTTTTGGGTTTGGAGATATGACCTTGTTTTTCAGGTCATGTCATGCCCTAAATGACGAATACCCAATGTCTTGCGTTGGCTATGGGCCTTGTGAGCTTTTGACACCCTGATTTCGTTTTTTTTTTGTTGCCAGTCTTACCTCCCACCTATCATTGAACATGTTGTTCTGCGATGTAGGTACAGATGTCAGGGTCAGGGTCAAGGTCAACCTAAGTCATCTAAAATTGTTGCGTTTTAGGCAAGCTGAATTTACTTTTCGTGAAGTTTCTTTGACCGCATGTTTAGTAAAAGCTTCTCAGTTCATGATCTCATGTAATAGGCAGGGACACACAAACCAATCTGTGCACACATCAGTACATACACAGACATGCACAGACATACAAACACATCATTGACCTTGACCTAACTTGACGTGAAATGACCACAGCAACAAATTAGTCGGATAGTGTGACAAAGAGCTGTTCTACATAGCTGGCTTGGCACTAAAGGCTGAAACAGACTCTTTCCGCGTTCAGGAAATCGCATGCGAGAGCCTATTCAAATACATTATAATTCTTCCCGCATCAATCGTATCCGGGAGGTGCGTGCGATTGATGCGAGCGTGCTTCCATGTATTTGAATAGGCTCTCGCATGCGATTTCCTGACTGCGGAAAGAGTCTGTTTCAGGCATTATACGGCAGCGTCATCGGTATATGATGGGTTGGCCCGCTGCTTGTGTAGGTATTTTATTCGACATCACCACAATTTTTTCTTACAAGATTGAAGATTTTAAGCTTCGCGGTCAAGAGCAACAGATTCTTTGGGAAGAGACGAATCCAATGATTAGATGACCTAGGTTGACCTTGACCCTGACCCTGGCATCTCTACATCATCGAACAACATGTTCCATGATAGGTGGGAAGTAAGACTGGCAAAAAAGGCCGAAATCAAGGTGTCAAAAGTTCACAAGACCCATAGCCAACGCAAGATATTGGGTATTTGTCATTTGGGTTATAACATCACCTGAAGAATAAGGTCACATCTCCGAAACAAAAAACCACAGAAACTTGAAATTTTCAGTGGACACTAAGAAAGGAATTAGAGAAGCAGCTATACAAAACATCCGGCTTCTAGCAATCAAAATGTTCAGTGCAGAGCAGAAAAACTACCTGGGGGGTGGGGGTGGCAATCACTGCCCCCCCCCCCCCCTATGTGCGGGCGAGGATTAAATAATTTGAATATCAGGTACATAATTTATTCAAACAGATATATGTTGTTTTGAAGTCATTTTTCCCCAGGAAATTAGCTATGTATAGTTACTTTTCGGATTATTCTCTGGGACAATAATATCTAACTCACAAGTCCATATATTTCGGATGATGTTGCTCACCCTTGGTCACTGGACAAAATAAAAAATATGTATGCATACATGAAAAACATGTATGCTCATGTATGCATACATGAAAAACCACACACCAAAATTATTCCCTAGACGGGTTACATTTTTCAAAAATATATCACTTGCCAAAAAACTGACACGGTCTTTTAGCTTGCATGTTCCCCTAATAAAAGTAGTGCAACCAATCTCCTGTATGAATGCTACCTATACCTGTGTCTACATAGATACATTGGACACAATAGATCAATTTGCACAACCGGGTGTATGTTCAGTTCCTATGGATAGCATCTTATGCTCATGTCGACCTAACTATTTCTAAGGGTAAAATCCCATATTGGACTGAGGCCAAATTTTCCTCCATCTCTGTTCATAGTGGATCTTTTTCTTTTATTTCTATTGCTTCGCGCACGATTCTCTTTTTCCAGTTACTCTCACATGCCAGAGTTTTGCCTTCCATGGGGTGCATGCTTCTACCGCACTGCCTAGTGTGCCGAGCGGGTGCCGACTTTTGTACCCGCCCGTGCTCGATGTCTTTAGCATGCTCGTTGAGCCTGACATCTTTTGGGCGCCCTGTTTCTCCAATGTAAATTTCGCCACATTCACATTACATTTCAGTTTCATATATCGTATATACCCTTTTGCTTGGTCTTGGGAATCCTATCTTTCACGTTAACTAGTTCCAATAGAGTCCCGCTTGTTTATACGTGACCTCCGATTTGTGTAGCATCTAAGTTGCCCAGGGGGCCTCTTATTTGTAGGCACAGTACAGAGAGCCTCCTACTTCGACTGCTTGCACAGAGAGCCTCCTTTTTGTACATACAGCTAAGCTTCTACAGGTCGAGCGCCGGTCTTCTATTTGTACGTACAGAGAGCAGTCCCTACTGTTACAGAGGGCCTCCTATTTGTCTAGGGGGCCTCCTATTGGTTAATGGCACCTCCTATTTGTCCAAGGGGCCTCCTATTCGTCTAGGGGGCCTCCTATTTGTCCAGGAGGTCCCCTATTTATCCAGGGGGCTTCTATTTTCCAGGGGGCTTCCTCTTTATCCAGGGGGCCTCCTACGTGTTCAGGGGCCTCCTATTTGTCCAGGGGCCTCCGATTTATCCAGGGGTCTTCTATTCGACCAGGGGTCTCATTTTTGTGCTGGGGTCTCCTACTTGTCCAGGGGCCTCCTTTTTAAGGGCCTCCTTTTTATTAAGGGAGCCTTTTATTTGTCCAGGGGCCTCCTATTCGTACAGAGGGCCTCTAGCTCCTACTTGTCCATGGGGCCTCCTATTTGTTCAAGATGCCCCTATTTGTACAGGGGGCCTCCTATTTGTCCAGGGGGCCTCCTATTTGTCCAAGGGGCTTGCTATTTTTCTAGGGGGCCTCCTATTTGCCCAAGAGGCCTCCTATATATCCAGCGGGCCTCCTACTTGTTCAGGGGGCCTCCTATTTGTCCAGGGGGCCTCCTATTAGTTAAAGTAGCCTCTTATTTTCCAAGCGGCCTCCCATTTATCCAGAGGGCTCTTATTCCTATTTTAGGGGGCCTCCTCTTTATCCAGGGGCCTCCTTCTTGTTCAGGGGGCCTCCTATTTATCCAGAGGCCTCCTATTTGTCCAGGGCCTCCTAATTGTCCAGGGGGCCTCCTTTTGTGAAAGGGGCCTCCTATTTGTCCAGGGGCTCCTAATTGTCCAGGGGGGCTCCTTTTGTGAAAGTGGCCTCCTGTTTGCCTAGGTCTAGGGCCTCCTATTTCTCCAGGGGGCCTCCTATTTTTCCAGGGGGCCTCCTATTTGTACAGAGGGCCTCCTACTTGTCCATGGGGCCTCCTATTTGTTCAAGGGGCTTTTTATTTGTACAGAGGGCCTCCTATTTGTCCATGGGGCCTCCTATTTGTCTAGGGGCCTCTTATGTGTCTAGGGCCACCTATTTGTCCAGGAGGCCTCCTGCTTGTCCAGAGAGCCTCCTATTTCTCCAGGGGGCCTCCTATTTCTCCAGGGGGCCTCCTGTTTTCCGGAGGGCCTCCTACTTGTTCAGGGGGCCTCCTATTTGTCCAGGGGGCCTCCGATTTGTCCAAGGGGCCTCCTATTTATAGAGAACCTTCTAGAGAACCTTCTATATGAACATCGGACCTCCGTTTGTAAAGTACCTGGTGCGTCTCGGGGGCCTCCACTATTGGGGTCCCAAAATGACAATTGGGGTCCCAAATGCTTGCATTGGGGTCCCACATGGGACCTCAAAAGTATACAAAGTTACACCCATGAAGCGAGCCAATGAATTGGAAAATGCACGGGATATGAGAGAAGCAGCCGAACTGGAAGCAAGACTCACCGTAGCAGCTGAAAACCAGCTGGAAATGGAGAGACAGAATGACTTCATCGGGGAAAAAGAAGACAATCTGTGCAGTCCGAAGAAGATGGAAGGAACGCAATCATCTTCTACAATTCCGGCTGTTGCTGTCAGTGTTAACCAAGTCCCCGCCATTGCCGAGGTGGTTCACCGACCCGATGACTCCGCTGGCGCTAGCTGCGGCTTTCTGAGAAATCTTCCGCGGCTCGAGCTAACCAAATTTAGTGGTGCTCCGGGAGAATGGCCACGGTGGTTTGCTTTATTCCAAGCCCTGGTTGGCAATCAGGCATTCCTGTCGGATGCAGAAAAGATGGCGCATCTGCAGGGTGCTGTTATTGGTCCGGCGCAACAAACTATTGCTGGCCTGCTGTATGATGGTCGACTTTATCATTCAGCACTGACTGCACTTCAAGACCGGTACGGCAGGCAGGAAGACATAGTGCATGCAAATATGAGAACGGTATTCTCCTGTCCACCGCCCACCTATCTCGACCCTGAGTCTATGGATCGGTTCCATGCTGCCGTCCACTCGGCTGTGTCAGTGTTGAAAAATTTGGGATACGAGGGGGACTTGTTTAGCACGGAGAATCTTCGCAACATAGTCCGAAAACTCCCAATCGAATTAAAGAAAGAATGGGGACATTATGTACTGGAACTTGAACCGGCCAAACCGAATTTGCTGCATCTCGACGATTGGTTACGGCGCCAAGTAAGAGTGGCCATGAATTTTGCAACGGTGACGCCAGAGGAAGAGCTCAGTAGGACACGAAGGCGTGACACCAAAGTAGAACCTATTCGAAGGACCACGCTCATTACGGAAGTTGGAACCTCCGGTAGCAGTTGTACATCATGTGGAGGTCATCATCGGGTGGATTCATGCCCCCGTTTTATGGAGAAGGATGTTAACCAGAGGATAGAGTTCGTGATCACATCAGGAGTTTGTTTCTATTGTCTAAAGGAGGGACACAGGGCTCGGCATTGCAGAATAGCGAAGCAGTGTGGCATTGATGGCTGCAGAATGAGACACCACCATTTACTCCATGGAAGTCGCCGGGTCGGACGCTTCGCTTCGCCAACCGAAACGAGCGAGACTAAACAAGAGCGTGATGTAACTGGGGCCCGAGTAGTTGCAGCTGCATCCAAAGCAGATCACGTCACTACACTGCTGCAGGTCGTTCGGGTGAAGGTACTGGGGGAACAAGGACGCTCGAGAATCGTCAATGCCCTCCTCGACCCGGGAGCCCAAACATCTCTTTGCTGTGACGAGGTTCTCCGGGACCTACAGATATTAGGCGAAAAGCGGGACCTCCAGCTGCTGACAGCCGGGGGTCGTGAGACAGTGCAGCGCGCCCAGAGGGTGACTTTAACGCTCATTCCGACTACCGAAATGTGTGCACGCCCTATACTCGTTCCCGAGGTATTCTCAGTCCCTGACTTGCATGTCCAGGTTCCGTGTCTTGATAGGTGTTTGCAAAGCTGGGACCATGTACGGGATCTTGATGTAGCTGGTTATAACGGTCAGAAGATTGAGCTGCTTCTGGGCGCCAATATTATTGAAACGGTGATTCAGCAAGAAGCAAGGGTTGGCAAACCGGGAGAGCCTGTTGCTATCAAGACGGCGTTTGGCTGGGCGCTCGCAGGAAATGTGCGGAGCTTCGTCCCGGAACATGTGAAGCAAGTCATGTTTCTGCACAAAACAGCTTTACATGGAGAACACGATTTTCTTCAAGACTGGTGGAGCACGGAATCTTTCGGAACGAAGCACGGAACCGAGTTCCCCACGTCTGCCGAAGATAGAAGAGCGTTGAGAATTTTGGAAAGAACAACAAAACTAGTCGGAAACCGCTATGAAGTTGGATTATTGTGGAAATTCATGACTTCCGGTCATGGATCGCGGAGTTACACCATCTCGAGAACATTCGCATCCCTCGCTGCTATAAAGCGAATCTTTCGACAGAACCTACTGCGTACGAGCTCCACGTATTTTGTGATGCTTCGGAGTCAGCTTTCGGAGCAGTGGCGTATGTCAGAATGACAACTCTGATTCCAAAAGGTGAGAAGGCAGCCACGTGCGCCTTCATAATGGCAAAGACAAGATTAGCACCCCTAAAGCAGCTTTCTATTGCACGGTTAGAACTTCAAGCGGCAGTGCTGGCCTGCAGGCTAGCCGCGTCCGTCAAGCGATCTATGACGTACAGATTCGATCGCTCCTTTTACTGGACTGACAGCAAAATTGTGCTTGCATATATACAACATGAGAGACGTCGCTTTCATACCTTTACAGCAAACCGTGTTTCAGAAATTCATGATCTATCAGACTGTGGTGACTGGCACCATGTTCCTGGACACCTAAATCCAGCTGACGCCTGCTCACGTGGTGCCTCAGGAGCGACACTCAGTGATCTTCTTTCATGGTGGGAGGGTCCAGACTTCTTAAAGGAGACCTCGACGATGTGGCCATCACAGACCAGCCCGCCGTCGCACCTCAGTTGTTCTGATCCGGAGGTGAAGAATTCACAGCATGTTCTGAGCACTCAAGTACACCAAACAGTGTTGCCCGATCCAGTTCGCTTTTCTTCATGGCTCGAATACACGAGAATAGTGGCTTGGGTAAACAGGTTCATGAACAACTTAAAGGCTGCTGTCAAGGGGGAAGAAAAAATATTGACTTCACTGAACGGCGGTGAGATCGAGGCTGCTATCATATCAATTATCAAAGAATCACAAAGGAAGTGTTATATGAAAGACAAAGATGCACTAAATTCTAGCGGCTCGGTGGGGTCGGCGAGCCGGTTATTGGATTTATCGCCTTTCTTGGACGACAATGGACTCCTTCGAGTTGGCGGTCGCCTCTCGCACGCTCCTGTCCCTGACGCAGCTCGCCATCCAATAATATTGAGCAGTGGCGATGAAGTGACTCGCCTGGTCGTACACGACGCTCATAGACGGATGTTGCATGCTGGAGTGGATCAAACACTGAGCGCGCTTCGCAGTCGATACTGGATCCCAAGAGGCAGGGCAACTGTTCGACGCATGCTTCACGCATGCGCCTTCTGTCGCAATCGGAGAGCGAAGCCCTGCCAGCCGAAGATGGCAGATTTGCCGCGCCATCGATTCCACGCGACGCGTCCCTTCAAAGCTGTGGGCTTGGATTTCTTTGGCCCATTACACGTTAAAAAATTTAGGAAGATTGAAAAGCGATGGGTTCTTCTCATAACCTGCCTCAGCACCAGAGCGATTCACCTAGAACTGGTGGAGTCCATGGACACTGATAGTTTCTTGATGGCTCTAAGGCGCTTCTTCGGTCGCAGAGGCAGGCCTTCCGTTGTCTTCTCAGATAATGGGTCAAATATTTCAGCTGGCGAGAAGGAGCTGAAGAGTCTCACCGAACAATGGAATCAGTCACAGATTATGGAAAAATTGAGCCAGGACCAAATCGAATGGCACTTCAATCCTCCCACAGCGAGCCACATGGGTGGAGTGTGGGAACGTCTAGTTGCTTCTGTGAAAAGATCTCTGAGAGTTGTGCTGGGCAATCAAGTTGTCTCAGGAGAAGTGCTATCCACTGTGCTGGTTGAGGTTGAAAGTGTTCTCAACTGCAGGCCAATAACATACTGCAGCGGTGACGCAAGAGATCCCGAGCCTCTAACACCCAGTCACTTCTTGCTTGGCTCCGCAGAGTCGGTTTTACCTCCCGGCATGTTCAATGACTCGGAATTACTGAGTAAGAAGAGGTGGCGACACGCTCAAGTCCTCGCGAACCATTTCTGGCAAAGGTGGAGGAAGGAATATCTGCCTACACTGATTCGCCGCGGAAAGTGGAACAGCGAATCTGAGAACCTTCAAGAAGGGGACGTTATCCTCATGGTGGATGATCAAGCCCCACGGGGGTACTGGCCTCTGGCGACTGTCACACGCACCGTACCAGGCGAGGACGGCCGAGTCCGTTCGGTGGAAATCAGAACTGGAAGCGGTCTGACGTACCACCGACCAGTCAACAAAGTGTGCTTCCTTGAAAGACTTGAGTAATTTCCTGGCTTCAACGATGCATGACTGCCAAGAAAGCTAGTGGTTCTTCCTAACACCCTTTCACTAACATGTACACGTAAGCGCTGAGATAGGTATGTTCACGTACCCATTCCTCTGCATATACTTCCCATATAGCCTGTGCAGCCCACCAACTGATCGATCACCCAACTGCCCGCCCGGAGCACGCATGGACCTGCATGGGCGCGGCGACTGCGACGCAGCCAGCCGGCAGCTGGGACGGAGAGGCACGGCGCCGGCACCACGAGGGCTGCTCACGGGAGGACCTAGCAAGATTGAGCCGGTGGAGGAGCTGACTGAATGCCGCCGCTGGTACCTGCTAGCAGCCGGCGATGACTGCTACGGACTGTTATGGACAGTTATCACTGGATGTGGCCCCTCATCGCCACCGAAGTCCGACTGGGCTGCTGCTGCTCACTTAGGGAGGGGTGTCCCTCTGTTCCCGTTCGGCTGTTATCGACTGCAGCAGTCGGATGCCGGACATGCTTGGACATGCCGGACATGAACATAGAACACTGGTGGATAAGCACTACAGAGTGACATGTGTTAACGATTGGACAATGCATGGTTTAAGTGGCATATCGCGTTCCTGCGCATGCGGAACTCTGGTGGGGGACAAAGGCATGCTTGCTAACGCGCGAGGATAGCTTTGAAATTTTACTGACAACGTTTTTGTATGTTCATGATAAAAATTAGCACGGCTTGGAAAGAATGTAGGCAAATGTTTCAGTTTATATTGCATTTACAATGATGTAATTTAAGTTGAGAGTGGCGAGAAAATGAATGGAATAAGTTGTACCTATAGCCGAAACGATCGATCGATGTCACCGAACCGAAACGTCACCGATATGAACCGAGGTCAACGTTTGGTGAGTGTTCAATGATCATGCATGCATTATCATGCATTTATTATCATTTATTATCATGCATGTATTGTCGTTACTTGCTTCGTTTTGTTAAAACTTTCATTTCCATGTATGTCAGTAGTTACCGATTTATCCACCAACGGAATTCGTGCACGTCACCTGCAGTCTGCTCAATGTATTTTCTTTTTCAGAAACCGCTAAATACATCGTGGATCAGGGCTGCACAGGCTATAACATGTCCCTAGATAGCGCGTTTTAACCCAAGGGTTATCGGTGACGACACTCTGCGCCTGCGCAATTATCCAAGCTCACGTGATTTTAGCCGGCGGCGGGGCACTCATTGCTGCAGTCATTGGCGCATGAGCCTTTCCCCGTTCAAGTCTCGTGCTGGCACTCCTGGCCTGACGTCCGCGTCCAAAATAGCGGGTCGTTTACCGGCATGCAGCCACTCCGAAAATAGTACAACGGAGGATGACCGGCTACTAAGTATACGCCGAGTGGAGTATTTTATGTTTCGCGTTGCCTCGTGACGCGCGCAGTTATTAACCAATTGGGCCCCGGACCGCTATAGCGGGCTATGACGTGAGCTCCAGAGCGGATCAATGACTATAAGACCACTCGTGGCGCCTTGCTGTGTGTGCTGTGGTGCTGTAATGCATTGCATTGTGTTACGTCGGCTGAGCTGGCTGAGGTAAATTGTTATGCGGAGTGCTGAGAGGCTGTCCCGCTGCTCGTCGCGAAATGGAGTTTGGTATTATGTTAGGTTTGTGCTCTCCCTTGCAGCTTATCTGTCCTACGCATCATGTTTTACCTCAAACAATGCAGAAGTCGCTGTGTTTTGTCGTTTCTGTTCAGATCTGACACTCCGTTATACCCATGTTACTGAGCGAACACGTTGATAGGCAGAGAGACCTCGTGCGTACCTGTATGTTATGTAATGGCTATCCTGAAGCGGTCGATGTCGCCGGCGACGACTTGTCTACCAGGCGACCGGCCAGTCAGCGGGGAAACCCCCGCTGTGACGGATATGCTTTGATTTGAACAGCGCAGGAAAGGGGGACCATCAAAGCGTCCAAAACCGCAGCATCCAAAGTACGCAACATCCAAAACCGCAGCGTCCAAAGTACGCAACGTCCAAAATACGTCCAAAATCGGGTATATAGGGAGCATTCACAACGTCCAAAACCGAAACATCCAAAACCGCAACATCCAAAACGTATCATCCAAAACCGCAACATCCAAGGACGCATCATCCAAAGTGCGCAACATCCAAAGTACGCAACATCCAAAGTACGCAACATCCAAAACCGTTAGGTTAGGTTAGGTTAGGCTAGGTTAGGTTAGGCTAGGTTAGGTTAGGTTTCCTTATTCCCGGTAGGCATAAATCAGTAGGTTAGGTTAGGTTAGGTTAGGTGAGGTTAGGTTATGTTGGGTTTCCTTATCCCCGGTAGGCAAAAATCAGTAGGTTAGGTTAGGTTAGGTTGGGTTAGGGATAGGCAAAAATCAGTAGGTTAGGTTCGGTTAGGTTAGGTTAGGTTAGGTTAGGTTAGGTTAGGTTAGGTTAGGTTGGTTTTGGAGGTTACGTACTTTGGATGTTGCGTCTTTGGATGTTGCGTTTTTTGGATGATACGTTTTTGGACGTTGCGGTTTTGGATGTTTCGGTTTTGGACTTTGTGAATGGCCCCTATAAACCCGATTTTGGACGTATTTTGGACGTTGCGTACTTTGGACGCTGCGGTTTTGGATGTTGCGTACTTTGGGTGCTGCGGTTTTGGACGCTTTGATACGGACCCGCAGGAAATAGGTGGATAACAAAAACGGAGCTCCTAATGGACGGATAGTTTGTTACAGCGCTATGTAGCTTGAACACATACACGCAATTGCTTAACTACATTAGCGGTACCTGTACACTTCAAGTTACGATCAATCGTATCATATTTAGAGGGATATTGTGGATACCAATGTTGTTGCCATGTGTCGTCTTATCCACGAAGAGATACGTTCAGTGGCTTTCGGTTGATATTGCCAACGGCCGCAAACTAGCACTGCCATGGTTATACGCCGTATTGTACTGGATTTGTGTTATTTGTGTTTGACACGTTAAAAAGTTACATTCTTTGCCTTCTATATTTGTCCCCATTTCTTTTCCGTTGAACTGAACTCCCTTCCCTTTCTAAGATCGTATGACAGCTAAAGAGCCGTTGAAGTGTCCGTTCATCGCATCATCTCTCCCCCCCGCCCTCCCCCTGTCGTCAGACCACGTGCTAGCCGACGCACCGCTGAAAAAGGTTCACTTACCGCCCTCCTTCTATTCCCAGCCAACGAACTGCTGAAGAGTCCACCCACCCTCATACCGCCCTATTCCCTGTCATATTATTACCGCCTGTATTGACCGCCAGAAGTCCACGCTCTCACAGTTACCACGTCTCCTTTTCCTTCACACCATGTCAGCCGACGGATCCCTTACCTTCCCCTCTCCCTTTTCAGATCATATGGTCGCCAACGGGCTAAAAGAGTTATCTCTTAGAGCCGTCCTTCCTTCACTTGTCATCCTGCCAATAGAAGAGTCCACCGTCTTACCTTCCCTCCTTTTTCAGATCATATGGTTGCGAAGGGTCACATGGAAGAGGTCTCTTATACCCCTCTTTCCTTCATATCTCAACGTGCCACTAAAAGAGTCCGCCATCTTACCATCCCTCCTTTTTCAGATCATATGGTCGCCACCGGTCTATCGGCTCAGAGTCCACCCGGTTACATTGACTGCAGCCTCCCCTGTCTTCAGTTTAGTCAGGCGACTGACCCCTGGCCCTCACCATCCCCCTCCTTTTTCAGATCATATGGTCGCCAACGGGCCGCTCAAAGAGTCCGAGGCGCGGCCATGGTTCCGACAAATCCTGGCTGCTGTTCAGTACTGTCACCGCAAGAACGTCGTCCACCGCGACCTCAAGGCCGAAAACCTGCTGCTGGATGCCGAGGACAGCATTAAACTGGCCGGTACGTGCGCGAGACTGATGGTCTGTGGTATTGTATTGTATTGCATATTGTGTTGTATTGTATTGGAGAGGGGTAATATGTGGCTTGTGTTGCGGCAGAATCATGGATGTGGCACGGGGAGGGGTAACTGGGTAACGGGGTCGGTTTATGGAGCTTGATAAATGGGTAACGGCCGAAGGGGCCTGAGCTTGGCCTGTTAGGTGTTTTCATGCTCATTCATAAGCAGCTTATGATCCTATATTGTGCATCTGACTGTGTTTGATCCCGGTACCGCGCTCTGGACTGGCCACTAATGTCGCCTCTCTGTGTCTGCAGACTTTGGCTTCAGCAACTTTTACTCCGAGTCGGACCCGCTGACCACTGGCTGCGGCAGTCCTCCGTACGCTGCGCCGGAGCTGTTCGAGGGAAAAGAGTACGACGGACCCAAGGCCGACGTATGGGTGAGTATTTTAACAGGTGGAGTGTAGACGTTTGTGATGAGTCCAGGGTAGGTGTATAGAGTGCGACAGGCCCAAGGAGGAATTGTCTGTGATGTAATGATAGAGTGATCTATATGATAGTTTATGATGTTTTTGGTGGCAATATCCCATGACGAGAAAGGATTGTACAGAGTTGGCATATTCGCTGTATTAACCAGGGACGCTGTTTCTGTAGGAATGCTCAGAATTCCATTTCCATCGACTCGTACGGATAAAACTAGCTGGTGCACCAAATGCGACACATTATTAGGAGCAACCTGTGTTCTGGAAAGGCAAAAAAAAAAACGTCCCAAAGGTGGCTGCCAGTAACATTGGGTAAATGAAAGCCGTTTTATCAAAAGTTGTTGGAAGATAACTTTTCCGATTACGTCTCTTCCACATGCCGACGTTATGGCAGCCGCGGATGTATTTTCACTGGCTTATAATGGATGTGCCTCGACTGAGGAGCACGGACTCGCGGACAGTCCGTGGGACCAAAGTAGACGTCCAGTTTGCCAACTCTGTTCGTCGGATCTGGGCGACCACCTAGGGTATTGAGGCAGGCGCTGACATGTGTCTGATCGGGTACACGCGCCGGGGTCGCCAGAATAACGGGAATCCGGCCGGTTTGACAGGCGTGTTTATTTAGTTCTGACTACCTATATAAGACAGTCCACTATAGTGTTTATCTTATGTGTGCATTAACTATGAGATTACTGGAACTGACCTAAGATAAACTTAAATATTCAGCAGAGTCATGCTGGCACATTTATGCCACTTCGTCCCTTTTTACAAGAGAGCGGAAGTTAGACCGAGTTTCTGTACGTCTTGCCGTGCGGTTCGCGGCCACGGATCTTATGCCCTTGTAGATTGAATGGCTCAAGAACCGCCACTGAATGTGTCGTGTAAGCTACCAGTGGCTGACGGAAACTGTAGAGAGGCAAATGAAGCCACAGTAGTGATTTGACATTTGTGTCCTGCTTATCGAATAAAGCGATGTGGTGAACGGTGGTTATTCCTGGCAATGTGATGCTCAAAATAGACACGTATTCCTTGGTTTCCCTACTTGTTCTGTAATGTCTCATCGCTGCTGACTGACTGACATTTATTTTTGTCCAAATTTGCTTAACGGTCAATGCAAATTCGCGTGGCTATGAATGCAAGAAAGTAACTTTTTACTCTACTAATTATTTTGCCTGTGGCTACCAACTTACGACAGGCAACTGGTACTGTGATTTTGTTTGTTTTATTGCGTAATTACCCGATGGCTGACTATGCTCGTTTGTTTGACAGAGTTTGGGAGTTGTTTTATATGTCCTTGTCTGCGGAGCTCTGCCGTTCGACGGCAATACGCTACAAATCCTGCGCGGCAAGATTCTCTCCGGAAAGTTCCGGATTCCCTACTTTATGAGCACAGGTGAGATTCGGCGCGGCGTTAGATCAGAGCTTCTGGAGAGCGTCTCCAGGCGTTGTAGGGGTGTCTAGTCGAGCTGTAAAACCCTGCGACTGAGCAGCGACATTTTACACAGGAGCTGCGTGCGTGGGAGGGATGGGATTTGATGTAATTCTGTCTGGACGTAGTTATCCGGTCTTGAAATAGACAGTTGCGCGACGCACTCCGTGTGTATTGTACCATGCACTTAGCTGCGGAAAGTTTTGTCATTTAGACTGGGCTCCTATTGTAATATCGTCGTATGTGTAAAGCTGCAGTTGATTGCAATTTGTTTTACAGACGGAATGTCTTACATACTTATAGGACATCATTTATGCATTATTCATTAATGATTGCATTATTCAAGTTATTCATAAATGATTATTCATACTTTGTTACCAAAATCGCATAGTTTAGAAGTATTATCACTGTTTGCACTTTACTGAGCTGCATTTACGTCCTCGGTGCAATTAAATAACTGTGTTGAATTAATTATAAACAGTTATAACGGTAAACTGTGGTTACTATGTTCTCCTCCGTACGGAGTATTAAGCATTGACATCTTCGCTTGACTTCTGTCTACAACTCTGTAACCCGCCACCACTTCTCATTTCAAGACCGCACCACCTCAGCCGTTTCTAACCCCTCCTCTCTCCGACAGACTACTGTCAAACACCACGGTCCGCTTCTTACTGTAAGACCGCACCACCTTACCCGTCTCTAACCCCTCCTCTCTCCGACAGACTACAGTTGTCAAACACCACCGCTTCTTACTGTAAGGCCGCACCACCTTACCCGTTTCTAACCCAAGACTGCACCACCTCAGCCGTTTCTAACCCATCCCTTCTCCGGCCGACTACAATGCTATAACTGCATGTTTAAGGCGTAATGTCAAACACCACCGCTTCTTACTGTAAGACCGCACCACCTCACCCGCCTCTAACCCCTCCTCTCTCCGACAGACTGTGAGAGCCTGATCCGACACATGATGACAGTCGACCCGGAGAAGCGTTACAGCATACCACAGGTGCTGCGCTGTCGGTGGGTCACCCAGGACCTGGACCCAGACGAGGCAGAGCGGGTGGTGTCCTTCTGCGAGCGACCGGACCTCGATCAGCCCCCGCCCGTACAGCAGAGTGTGGTGGAGCTGATAGCCCAGCTGCCCGGAGTGACGGCCCAGCAGGTCCAGCAGGTGAGAGAGAGGAGGGGAGAGGGAGAGAGAGGGGAGAGAGAGAGGAGGGAGGAGAGGGAGAGGGAGAGAGAGAGAGAGAGAGAGAGAGAGAGAGAGAGAGAGAGAGGGAGAGGGAGGGAAAGGAGAGAGAGAGAGAGAGAGAGAGAGAGAGAGGGGGGGGGGGGGGGGGGGGGGGAAGGGAGGAGAGGGAGAGGGAGATAGGGGAAAGATCTGTCAGGGAAGTAGAATGTGATAGTTTCAGCTACAGTCTACAGCAGATATAATAGTTAACTAATATATCCTTATTCTGTATCTACTGTATTCATGTAGTCTTTATATTCATGTATTCTTATATCCAGTAATGCAGTCGCTTCCCTATAACTTCCGCTGCTCTTTGTGTTCGCAGTCTACGCAGTTTGCAGTTGCACACTATATAGTCGAACCACCATAACATCTCACCCTTGCGTTCCCACGCCATATGTACAGTCAAACCCCATGCATAACCTTCCCACCTTTCTGCGTTCACAGTCTCTACAGTCAAACCCCCGTCCTCTCCTACCCTTCTTGTTCATAATCTGTACAGTCGAACCCCCTAACCTTCCCTCTGCGTTCGCAGACGTCTGTCCAGTCGAACTCCTAACCTCTTTGTTCGCAGCCTACATATACTGTCGAACGCCACTAACCTCTTCTCTGGTGACAGTCTGCACAGTCAAACCCCCATCACTTCCACTACTATGTTTCACAGTCTGCAGGCCTATGGCCTATGACCTCTACCATCTCCGTTCAGTGTTCACAGTCTGTACAGTCGAACCTGTACGACGACTTGGCGGCCCTATAAGGGTCCCTCTGTGCTCGCAGTCTGTATAGTCGAACCTCCTAACCTCCCCTCCCCCTTCGTTCGCAGTCTGTACAGTCGAACCTGTACGACGACCTGGCCGCCTGCTATCACCTGTTGTGTGATCAGGCGGCGACGGCTCCCCTCCTGCCCACGGCCGCCGCGGCGCCCGCCCTGCCCAAGGTCCTCACCTCCATATGGAGTGAAGAGGCCGACAAGGGACAGGTAGGTGGGCTAGACTAGAAGAGGAGGGAGAGAAATGGAAGAGGGAAGAAGAGACAGATAAGGGGACGAATGGTGGGAGAGAGGAGGGAAGAAAGAAGAGGAAAAAACTATTGGTTTTACTGCGTGATCCCTACTTGAGCTGTATTGGATAACAGCTATGATAGCTGTTGTTGGAGATGGTGCTCAGAATCGTTCTGAGCGCGAGTGACAGTGGATATTGTACGTCTGCGTAGGGGATGTGGACGTGGGACAGTAATCGATCAGTGCTCGCCGAGCTTTGGATGGGCCCCGACGGGAAGGTGGATAGAGGGCGCGCCCATCGCACTGTACTAGGCTCGGGCGGGCTAGGCAGTAGCCACATCGTCTCATACATCATGTCTTGCCTCTAGTCTGAGCTGACGTAACGTGGTATGTGTTGCTTCATTCGCCACTCGCAGCCTGCTCTGACCTGGACTCGGCTGCTATGACCTACTCCTACGTCCTGTACTAGTGCATTTATCGTGCCTTCCGACTCGCCCTGTTCTGCCCTGCTTTGCTCTACCCGATATAATCCGACCCTCCTTTCGCATCGCTCGGCCTTCCTTGGTCTAATCGGGACTGGCAGCTCTGCTGTACCCCAGCATATCCACACTGGCCTTGCCTACCACCATTGACAACCTGTTTTACTCCACCCCGATCTGACCCGCCCTGACCTACCACGTGTCTGCCTACTCGACTCGACCCTCCCCACATGATCCGCCCTGACTCTATCACGTGTCTGTCCCTCAGTTCGAGGACGCCGAGCGTCACCTGGAGCTGGATCTGGAGGAGACGTCCAGCAACAGAGACCAGTACCACTGTTCGCGGCGGCACACGGTCGGGCCCGGCGACACGGCGCATACACAAGTTCAGGTGAGAATGGCTAGCGACACGGCGCATGCACAACTTAAGGTGAGAGCGACTGGGGACGAGGTGCTTGGTTAGGTGAGAACACTGAAGACACGGCAAGAACGACAGGAGACACGGCGCCCGCACAGGTCTAGGTGAGAAATCTATTAAAATGCGGCGTGTAGGTTAGGTGAGATTACGCTAGAGACAGCGTTTGGTGAGGTTAGAAGGTGATGACACGGTATACACATAGCTCCAAGTGAGAACGTTGGAGGCATGGCGATTGGTGAGGTGAGAACGCGTGAGACAGTATTTGGTGAGGTGAGAACACTGAAGACACGGCAAGAACGACAGGAGACACGGCGCCCGCACAGGTCTAGGTGAGAAATCTATTAAAATGCGGCGTGTAGGTTAGGTGAGATTACGCTAGAGACAGTGTTTGGTGACTAGGTTAGAAGGTGATGACACGGTATACACATAGCTCCAAGTGAGAACGTTGGAGGCATGGCGATTGGTGAGGTGAGAACGCGTGAGACAGCATTTGGTGAGGTGAGAGTGCTGGAGACACAGAGGGCGAGGTGAGAACGCCTGGAGGTGCGACACTTAGCCACTTGCTTTAGTGATCACGCTGTCCGATGCAACGATCACTCAACTGAGAACGCATGCCGGGAGGCGTGGCGCTTGCCGCTTACACAAGTTCAATTGAAAACCTGCAGAGCCGGCGCTCGCTTAAGGTAGAACGCTGAGTGGGACGGCGCTCAAACAAATTCAGTTACTATCGTCAAGGCACACAGCGTTGGTAAGGTGAGAACGCTTAGGAAGGTTGTGTGAAGCCAAATGAGCTTGCCTGGTAACTCAGTGCCTACTTTGGTGAGAACGCCTGTAGAGTTTTGCCTAGCCGAGAACGCTAGGCGAAGCGGTTCCCACTCATATTTGATAGAGAACGCCAGAGGGTTTGTTTTGTTTGGCGGTGATCGTACGCAAATGCCACTGAAAATGCTGGCCGTTATCCTTTCAACACCTGACTGCACGCGGAAATCTGGCGCGCCGGCTGCTATGTTTAGTTTGTCGTGCTGCAGTGTAGATGGGGACACGGTCAGCCTGGCTCGCCGGGCGGTCCTGCATTGTTAGTCACCAGCTGCAGCGTTTAGCATTCCTACGCGACTCGTGGAGCTGTCACGGCCGCACGGCCGGGTAGCCATCCTTGCGCGTGGCAGCGTCAGGCAGCCGGGTTGGGACTGGCTGTCCAGGAACTGCGGGGACGGGCTAGGTGCTGTCAGCAGCCTTGGGAAGGTGTAAGTTCTGATTTCCAACTGATTGTATCTTTTGAGACTGAAACGTTTTTTTATCTATTGATAATCTGATCTGTCAGGGTTTTAGTCTATAAATGGCGAAATAAATCGTAGTCCATTCCCCAACTATCCGTTATTTTTGCCGCCTCCAAATGGTCAATAGCTGATACCTTTGTTTATCTCATCCTAAATGCACGAGAGGAGTGCCACCATGATCCTGTTCATGTATATTTTCGTTATGAGCAAAGTATGGACTGTATCTTAGCGCCTCCACTCAGTGCCTATTCCAACCCTCGCTACATAGCACCTATCTGTGGTAATCACTTGTAATTACTAGCTTTGTCGAGTCGTGCATTCTGGCGAAATCAGATACCGAAACCTAACGCGATGCCAATTAGATTGTGTTGTCACGACTGCTGTGCAGCCGGAACAGGCACCTAGCCGGGCGGCGGTGCTATTTCCGTATACCGCGCGCTGCACGCTCCACACTAGGACACCACATATCAGCGTTTTTTTCGTTATACCGCGTGCGGTCCAGTGTTCGCCACATTCTCCCTCCCAGAACACCAAATATCGGCGCTAATTTTGTAATTTTGTATTCTGGGTGCTGTTCAATATACCCTGGTTCACCCCACCCCAGCATCCACCCCAGGACATCAAATACCAGCGCTGTTTCAGATGCGCGTGCTGTTCTCTCCTCCACACTTTCCTCAGGACTCCAAATCTCTGCGCTATTCCCGTAAACTGCCTGTCCCGCACCCGCTAACACACCGGAACCCTCTCCCCCTCACCAGGTATCGTTCGGGGTTCCGCCCGCCTGGGGCTACGGCGTGCCGACCGGCGTGGGCGGCGGCGGCGGCGCGGCGCGTCTGTACCCGGTGCTGCCGCAGACGAATCTGGCGCAGAACCTGCCGCTGGTGCAGCACCAGCCACCGCAGCGGTTCAGCACCAAGGATCAGCATCTGCTCAAACCGCCCACTGTGCTCGGCGCCTGTGAGTAGAGTGGCGAGGGAGGAGTGAGTGAGCGAGTGAGTGAGTGAGTGAGTGAGTGAGTGAGTGAGTAAGTGAGTGGGTGAGTGAGTGGGTGAGTGAGTGAGTGAGTGAGTGGGTGAGTGAGTGAGTGGGTGAGTGAGTGAGTGAGTGAGTGAGTGAGTGAGTGAGTGAGTGAGTGAGTGAGTGAGTGAGTGAGTGAGTGGGTCAATCAGTGAGTAAGTGAGTGAGTGAGACGTCGAATGGCAATGTGAGCCGAGCTCTGTGCTGTTCAATTGTACCGGGATCTGGGCATGTGAGAGCAATGTGAGAGGACGTGCTCTGCAGTAAAGAGTGATTAGGTGCTGTAGAGAGGCCTGAGGTCTGAGTGGGTTGAATGATACAAACACTTTGGAGCATATCGTACTGCTCAGCTGATAACTAGATCGTATCAGTACAACAATAAAGCGTTGAAGGCATCGTCTAGCTGCCATGAGTCCACATACGTGGGGTGAATGAAAAGTTTTGAGCCTTACACGATTACAGGTGACGCAGGTTAATGAAAATTTGGTCATATGTTTTACCACTATTTATATGAATGCACACCAAATTTTGAAGTCCTAGCACTTGTTTCGATTTTAGAGCCCGTCAAAGTGAAGAAGATTGCCCGTTCGGTGAAAATGGAGAATCCAAAATTGGAGGGACTGTGGAGTTGGTGAAACCACGTCGCTACTCTCATCTGAAAAATTAAATGCCACAGTCATAACAAGGAGGGAAGTGTTCCGTAATTGGGGAAATAAATTAGATGTATTGCAAGTGCAATTCCTTTCAAAGGGTCTTACTGTAATTGGGCAATCCTATGACGACCCACGGATGCGTCTTTGTCAGAATATCAGGAAGATCAGAACGGCAATGCTGACAAAATTGGTCATGTTTCAACAGGACAATGCTTCAGCGTATTTTTCCTGGGATGCAATGTCAATTCCATTACTGAACCTTCCGATTTTTCTCAAATTAAATCTTTTGACCAGTATTGGCATCCTTCGGTGTCTGTTTCCTTCTAAAACTGAAGAAAAACTGAAATAATGACGCTTCACAAAAAATATGACGTCATTGACACTGCGAGCGCTTACAAAAATGCCATGATTCAATGCGCTTTAAAAGTAAGAAAATAAAGTGCTAGAACTTCACAACTTGGTGTCCACACATATAAATAGTGGCAAAACATGTGACCAAAGTTTCATTAACCTGCGTCACCTATAACTATGTTAGGCTCAAAACTTTTCGTTCACCCTACGTATAACGTCCTTGACACAGTTTGTATATCAGTAAAATCTGGTTAAAAGCGAATATTTACGTTGTCATGGTGGCCGTGACTTGTCCCGTCTGCCATGCACCGAACATTGATGACCATTATTTTGTGACCTTTACCGCGCTCATCATGATCCCACGCTCAAAATGTCAGATGTTTGTCCTGTTCCCGCTCAGGATTTTGTGCTGGCTCCCGGACGGTGACATTTCACTCGATGGCTGGCTGGTGCGGGCAGCGTTATTGTGCTCCCGTGCACCAGGCTGGGGTTTGGTGTCACTGTCCGCCCCTGGCTGTGGAGCGCTGCTCCCTGCAGCAGAGCAGCATGGGGAGTGGAGGGGAGGGTACGGTAGCCGCGATGGGAGCACCAGGGGGAGGACAGGGGAGCAGCGGCGAGATCAGAACGGGAGCAGCAGCGGCCAGATCAGAACGGGAGCAGCAGCGTCAGTTGCAATGGCAGCTGGGGGAGGGGCACAGACAGCTGAACAGCAGAGGCCGGCGGCACAGCGCAGCGCGAGTCTGTTCGCCGCGCCGCGCCCGCCAGCGTGCGGCCCGGCCGCCGGCCGCCGCCGGTCTGGGTGGCATCCGGGGCGAGCCGCGCGGGCCGGCGCGGCGGCCGGCGGTCAGTTCAGTCCCGGGCCGCACACGTGGGGTAGGCTGCCGTCAGCGTGACAGCCCGGCCGGCCGGCGCGGCGTGGGCGGTGACGGGCGAACGAGTGATGTGAGTCATGAGTGTGATGTGAATGTGATGTGGCGTCGTTGTGATATAATGTGACGTGGCATGTGGTGACGTGGGATATGTGATGTGACTTGAGTGGTGTAAGTCGCTCTTAGAAGCGTTTTTAGTTTTTCACGATGATTTGCTTTTTTCGTTCTTGATAGGGATCAAAACATTTTGCGGCAATGTCTGTCATAATTGGTGTGACATTCTACATACATTTGATAATTACCATCTGTCGTCCCTCCATAACCCTTGTAACCTCTAGCCGTCTCACGACCCACCTCTGAGTTCTGACCCTGCCTCGCTCTCCTCTCGTTCAGTCGGCGGGTTCGGTCGCCGCGCCTCGGACGGCGGTGCCAACCTTCAGCTGAGTTACCGGCAGCCGGGCGGAGCCGCGCAGCCGGCCAGTCAGGAGCAGCTCTGTCTGCTGCAGAGGACCGGTGCCGAGCCCGGAGCGCCCGGAGCAGACGGAGAGATGGAGGATGGCGGAGCGAGGTGAGAGGGGGAGATGATGGGGTGGAAAGAGGGAGATAGCGGGGAGACACGGGAGATAGTGGGGAGGCACGGGAGGGAGATAAATGTGCAGGCAGGACATAGTCGTGGGGTGAGACAAAGGAGACAACAGATGAGACACGGCAGCTATTGAGTTGAAACAAAGGAGACAGTGGGTGTAGAAAGGGGAGACGATGAAGTTGGTTGCGACACAGGAGACCAGGGAGTGAGTCAAGGGAGAGACTATTGGTTGAAACACGGGAGATATTGAGGCAAGGCAGGGGAGACGATGGAGTGAGGCAGGGGAGACATTGAGAAGCCCTGGTTACAAGGAGTGAGACAGCTGGAGCAAGAGGGACAATAGGACGAAGCTTGGGATGCAGTGTGATGTGTTGCAGGCTTGGGACACAAAGGGGTGATACATGGCTGGACGATAGGGTGAGACAATGGGAATTTAGGTGAGAACGGACTAGGAGAGGCAATGGGGTGACGTAGGTGACTACGGAGTACGGAATAATATACATGTGAGGAATGGGATAACATGAGATGAGACCTGAAGACGGGGAAAAGTGTAAGGAAGGAGAGGGGGGGGGGGGGCATGGATTGGGAAACAAACATGTGAAGTGAGATATGGACGATAAGGGTTTGAGTCACGGGGAGAATGGGAGGAGGCATGCGATAACGAATGAGGAAGGGAGAAGGGTTCAGGCAATGAAAATCAGTAGGGTATGACTATAAGTGACGAAAGAGGGATTGGCACTACTTGATTAGGGGCTGACATTTTAGACATTAGAAAAGAGAAGGCTGAACGAGAGGCAATGGAAAACACTGGGCAATGGAAAACACAATGGATGCACTACGTCACTTGAGAAAAAGACGGAACTATGAGGATGGTATTCAAGAGTTCGAAATGCTTGGTCTGAAATGGGCAGTGGTCGTCTTGCTCGTAACGCACACTGTAGTACGAAATCACTTCGTGTGTGGTGTGCGGCACGTTCCTGTTCACTAATGATATCACGAGAAGACCACGCGCCATGCAATCAGCACTGTTCCAGTTGTTGTTTTTCTCTCATGATCATATATGCTATCTAACGTAATAGCTTTACGTCTGTGAGAGTTGCATAAAAAACAATTTCAAAAAGCGCACTTTGATATGTACAGTCATGCTACGTCAAGGGTAATCTCTAGAGTTTCTATTAGTCAGCTTGGGGTTAGCTGGCCAAAGAACGATTGTGCTAATCATATTGCTTCTATATAAAGCTACCGTTCTTCAGATAATCTTCGAGGGCACTTGAAATATCGGTGTAGGTACTCTGTGCTTGCTCAAGTCGATTATCAACCCATTCTTTGATACCCGATCTTGTAAATCCTGAAAACTGTGTTGATCATTGGTCTATTGAGTTACTTTTTGCGGCATGACTGCGAGGACTTGCCGTTCGCAGACCGCAGTATATCAGCATTATCTCTTGAGACTTTTCTGCCTTGTTGTTGTTGCTTTTTAAGAAATCTGCAAACTATATAGTTTTTTAGCAATACTGAATAAGATGTGGTCGTCCATCAGAAGAGTGCTGTTTGCCGCAAAATCAAATAATTGAAATGTAGGAAAAATGTAGAAAAGTATTGTGAGAAAAAGTGTGTATCAACGTAATGGTTCAGCTATAATGTTTTTTATGAATTTGTTGAAATTTTACGTTGCCTCGCTACCTTGGCTTGGCTCACACTGTGCTTGAATGTCACATGGTTTTACCTGCCTCAACGTCACTCAAAACGCGCCGGTCATGAAACACTGTGTGGGGAATCAATGATGTCAGCGGCTTCGCCAAATTTAGACACGGCTGTCCACCTCCCGGATATTAATGTGGAACACGACCCGGTACTTTGATGCTGTCACTCGCTAGAAACATAAGGGGAGGGGTGCAATAATTCTGACCTAAACTGGGTGGAAGACGTCCAGCTGTGACCGTATTTTGGATGTGTAAATTGTTGTTGTTAACGTTTGGCCTCATTGTGAATTATTCTACGTCTCGTAATCAAAATGGTACAAAGCCTGAAACAGACTCTTTCCGCAGTCAGGAAATCGCATGCGAGAGCCTATTCAAATACATGGAAGCACGCTCGCATCAATCGCACGCACCTCCCGGATGCGAATGCTGCGGGAAGAACTATAATGTATTTGAATAGGCTCTCGCATGCGATTTCCTGAATGCGGAAAGAGTCTGTTTCAGCCTTAAAGCATGAGTTGGAAGTTACTATAATATGTTAACCAGAAAATCGCATAGATAATACAGGGCCGTCTCTAACTGTGTCTGCTGGCCCCGTCTAACCGTCTTTCGTCTCTGTATTAGTGCATTCATCTTCTGTCGGTCCTCTCTGTCTCCGTCTCTGTATCAGCACACCCAGCTGTCTGTCTCTGACTGCGTCTGCCGGCCCTTCCTGGCCGTCTGACTGTATTTGTCGGCCGTATCTAACCGTCTCCGTCTCTGTCTCCACCAGGTACGGTGACGACAAACGCCTGGACGAGAGCTCACTGTGCGAACGACGGGTCAGCGCCGGGAGCGCGGGTAGCACCAAAATCCGCCGGCCCAGCCTCAAAGAGCCGCCTTCAGGTCAGCCATTCTCTGAGTCAGACTCGCGAGCCGAATCCGACTCGGTCGCTCAGAACACTAAGCATGTCGATGTCTGGCTGCGCCCGTCTATCGTTTCGTGTCCCTCACGGAACATGGCCCAGCCGAGCCACTGTATCAATCTGTATCGATGTTTTATGTTGACTCTGTTAGTTTCGACTGCTCGCTCGGTGTTACTTCACCGTTTTAGTTATCGCCTCGTGCTCTGGTTTTGTCGTTTAGTTGTTGGCTCATTCTCTCTCCGAGCCCCTGCCTGTAGCCTGTTGGTGTTCGCTGTTTTGCTCCTATTTAGCACACCTCAGTTTTAGTTTGGCACGCCGGCTCGGCCCGTCCGCCGGGCCGCACTGTTCCTTTCCTCTCCTGTGTGACCGGGGACGCTCGTGTGTGCGTGTCTCTAACCCCAACCGGGTGGACAGCAGGCAGTGCGTCTGCCTTTATGTTGGAGCGAGCGCTGATCACACAGCAGCGCATCCAACCGATTGGCGCCGACGGTAACGGCCGGCGGAGGAGGACGGGTCTGATTACGGTGGGCCTGTCCCCGGTCCTGGAGAACTCCACTCTTCATACACCTACAGTCGGAGAGAGCACCGATACGACCTACGGTGAGAGGGAGAGAGAGCTGGGGAGGAGGATGGTGTGAGCTGAGTGGTGAAGGACAGGGGAGAGAGAGAGAGAGAGAGAGAGAGAGAGGAGAGAGAGAGAGAGAGAGAGAGAGAGAGAGAGAGGAGAGAGAGAGAGAGAGAGGGAGAGAGAGAGAGGGAGAGAGAGGCGGAGGAAGAGGGGGAGCATGAGAGATTCGGGGAGAGAGTGGTGGAGGAGAGGAGAGAAGGATGAAGACAGGCTTGGGGAGAGTATGTGTGCGCTGGGAAGTCGGGCGATTGTTTTAGGTTGTGATGGCGTTGAATTTGGGAGGAGGGTGATTGCTGTTGTTTGAAGGGTGGCTGTGACGATGAATGGATGCGATGTGGGTTCAATTGGGGCCGAGTGGTTGAAAAGTGTGTGGTGGTATAGTAGACGATAGTCCTTTAATGTAATCTGATACCGTGATACTCTAACCCTTATCTTAAGATGGTCAAGGAATTATATTCACCAGGCTGCAAGGGATCTGTCGTGCGGTATGTGTCACCACAGGAGTACATTTATATGACGCTTTCTAAACTAATAGAAAAACACAATTCTAAAGAATAGTGTTTGTCTAATGAAGAAACAACCTTCGGGTATCTACATCTCCAAATCAAACACCCAGAAATAACTACATACGCAAAACACACACAAACAAACCTAACAGCTGTTTGTGCGTCCACCAACCGACCCTAGCGGGCAGTCTGACCGGTCGCCGCTCTGTCAGGCGGGACCGTCGAGGCCGGACCGTGGTCCCCGGGCGGACCGGCGTGGTCCCGGCCGGTCCGGTCCCCGCCGTGGTCACGGGCGACGCTCAGCCGGCGTGGAGCGTCACGGTTGGACCAGCCCCGCATGACATTTTCAATCCGCATGCAGTCTGTCAAGCTGGCATGGTCTTTTGTTAGATGTTTGCTGATGTGTTGTGGCTAATTATTATTTTACAGGTTTGGCTGTGTTTAGTGCATGCCGTTTCTGTGATTGGCTGATGTTTTTAGAGTTCGTGTGCTCTCTTTTATGTGTTTTCCTACGTAGAAGTGTATCTTTGTTCTTTGATTGATAGTAGTTAAGTGATTAATCAAGCGTAGCATTGTTCACATTATCGCTTGGTGTTTAGTAGAAGCGACAATAATAGCATAATTAAGTGTGTAAGCTATGGCATAAGTAACATTTCAGCGATAATTGCGAATATTAATATGCCCCTTGGTGAGCGAAAAACTAGGCGTCAATTGAGCTGCAGACTATGGCAAAACATTCCATCCGCTCGTTATATTCAACCTCACAATATCCTCTCAATTTTCCTGTCACTTGTCGCTTTCCCGTCATTTTACGTGTGTGTTTGCACCTCACGCCGGCTGTTCTACAGCTTTCATTACACCACCGTAACCGCACGGACCCAATTACCCATGACCTTTAAGTCTAACCTCTGACATTTAACTCGTACTGTGTAACCTCTGACATTTAAAAGTAACTCCCGAAGCCTTGAACCCCTGATCCTTAACCCATGAGCCTCAATCCCTATCTCAGGACACGTCCTGTCTCCTGTCGCTGACTAATAACCCCTATCGCTGACTCCTGCCGTGATCCCAATCGCTGACCGCTGACCCCCTACCCCCTGACCCCTGCCGTGACCCCTGTCGTTGACCGTTGACCCCCTTACCCCTGCCGTGACCCCTGTCGCTGACCGTTGACCCCCTTACCCCCGTGACCCCCTGCCGTGACCGCTGCGGCTGACCTGTGACCCGGTGCCCGGCAGGCGGCCACTACCCCAACTCGCTACGTATTCCCTCGGACCGCTACACCCGCCGTGTGAGCGACTCGTCAATGCTGGGACAAGACCAGGACGCCGTACGGGAACTGGAACAGCTTAAGGTAGGCGGGCGGGACGCTGTGGTAGCTGCTATTACCTGTCAGTTTCTACAGTAGTTCGTTTGTATTAGCCAGTAGTTAACGCGACATCTTTCGTTGGATAATCCTTAATAGTTACTGTTCTTAGGAACTTTATTGTAAGGTAATGCAAACCTTTTTTATCGCTGGTTGCAACCCCGTCCCTCCAAGTCCGAGTGTTTCATTATTTGGTCAGGTTCTGTCCCTTTCACTTTAAGTGCCAGTTCTGGTTTATTTTAGGCTCGCTCTTGACAAAGCCGGTGGGTAAGGTCACTGTTCGCGCACGACAAAAATTCCCATTGTTTGCCAGCGGCCCAGCGTCACCTTGTTTCTAATTGGCCATGTGCTGACAGCGTGCCGTTCTGTTTGTGTGTTGGGTTAGGCTCTTTGGGTCTAACAAGACCATTTCAGAGCCGGAAGGATGATAGGAATGAGGGGGAGACATTGGTCTGGGCAGGGACCCTAGTGAGTCGGGGCTGAGCCCATCCAGTGGACAGGCCACCCAGCCCCCTGACACTCACCGCACCCCGCTACGGGTCTGCTCCTAGGGAGCTTCCTGCATGGCATAAATAAGCTGTCCGTCCAGCCCGGAACAGAGGGTTGAGGCGTGGAGGAGAAGGATTTAACTACCCTGAGGATGAAAACGGCGGACCGGGGGACAGCGTGCCTCTGTGCGGCGCATTGTAACGCATCGTGACCAATCGTGTTGCGTTTTGACGTATCGTCACGAAGTTGGCGTGTTGGGACGTTTGGTGATGTATTGTTGATCCTTCACAAGACCTTTTGGCGTATTCCAATGTTTCGTGATTCCTTGGAATGCCTTCATTTGGCATAACTTGATCCTGATTGCAATGCATTTTGTGACGCATTTTTATGCACACAGAAACGTCTGTTGTTGCTGTGATGTATTTGGATACATGATTGTAACGCCTTGGCGTATTGGGACGTTTGGTGATGTATCGATGATCCTTAACGAGACATCTTGGCGTATTCCAGTGGTTCGTGCTTCATTGGAAACCTTTATTTGACATAGCTTGATCCATCGAGACGCATTCACAGTATGTGATTTTATTAAACGTATTTTACACTCACGGACGCCCGAAAGCTTTGTGACGCGTTTTGATTCATTGTGAAGCATTACGGCACGCTCGTGTGACTGACGCGCGTGCCTGCCGTTTCCAGCAACACAGCCGGTCGGTGGACAGCACCACGATGCAGGAGTTGCAGCTGCAACACACGCGCCACTTTCTGCAGCG